CCACTCACCCGCTCACCCACTCCCACCCCCCCCCCATCCTGCCCGAGTTACCTCAAAGACCCAGCCACACACACCCACCCAGTAGCACACAGCTGCATGAAGAAGAGCACAAACACATTACATATATATATATATATATACACACAAAATATCATCCAATCTAATCTCCTCCAGTTTAAGTAGAAGAGGTATGCACGTGTGTAGAAATCGTTTTTTTTCTTCGTGTACCCCACCTGCCCCTTACGACACGGTGAGGAGGAGGAGGAGGAGGAGGAGGAGGAGGAGGAGGAGGAGGGAAGGATGGGAGTGGAAGGAGGAGGGGAGGGGGGGGGCTGAGAGCTGAGAGGGACGGAAAGGATTGGAGCAAAGAAATGTTTTCAAGTTGGGCGAAGTTCAAAAATTATTTGCTTATCCTTGGAAACAGTATAATTCCTCAATTGTTCAGACACCGGTTTCAAAAGTTGGGTGGGTTGCAGCAAGACGGGCTGTCCAGACAGCTGTCCGACACCCCTCCGGTGCAGCAAGCCTGTCCGGACAGCCGCGTGCGCCCGGACACAGCATCGTGAGCATCAGCTGGACCCCGGGCGTTGTCCGGACAATGCGGCCCCCACACCGAAACCAACATCATGAGCATCAGCTGGACCCCGGGCGTTGTCCGGACAACGCGGCCCCCACACCGAAACCAACATCATGAGCATCAGCTGGACTCCGGGCGTTGTCCGGACAATGCGGCCGCCACACCGAAACCAACATCATGAGCATCAGCTGGGCCCCGGGCGTTGTCCGGACAATGCGGCCCCCACACCCAGGCCAGCATCATGAGCATCGGCTGGGCCCCACAGGGACCCCCCCCGCACATGCTTGTCCACACACTCCCCTGCCCCACCCTGCCCCTCCCCCTTCCCCTCCCTCCCTCCCTCCCTCCCTCCCTCCCTCTTCCTCTCCCCTCTTCCCCCACTATCCTTTCCTTCCCGTCCCATCCCCTCCCTTCCCTATACCCCACTCAGAAGTTGCGCAAGCATCAGCAGGATCAAGAGAAAGACGGGATAAACAACTAACTTCTCTTAGCCCCCTGCTAACTAACATCTACATCTACATCTTTAATCATCTTTACTGGAGCCACGCACGCAGGCAATGAATTCAGTGGGGGCAGGTGGCTGCGCTGCGATAGCGCACCCTGCCCAGAGCTAGGAGGACAAGCAAAAAAAGAGGGGGGTGCTGCACTGCGACAGTGCGCCCTGCCTGGACCAGCAAATAGTAAGGGGGGATCGCGCTGCGATAGCGCGCCCCGGCCCGTCCTTTTAATTGGCGCTGCGACAGCGCAAAGCAGGGCAGTTGCTGCGACAGCGCAAGTCTCCCCCCCCCCCCCCCCCCCCCCCCCCCCCCCCCCCCCCCCCCCCCCCCCCCCCCCCCCCCCCCCCCCCCCCCCCCCCCCCCCCCCCCCCCCGCACTACCCACGCCCCGCTAAGGAGCGCTCGCAGAAATCGGCCTCGTATCACGTGGGTCACCCAGCACATGTTTCGAGCAATGCCTTACAGAGACATGCATCCCAACAGAACAATCTGCTAGCTGCTAGTCTGGTACCGAAGACCCTTGCCGGTACAATTTTCACTGTTTGACCCGTGACCCAACCCTCCATGCACAACAAGATTCCGAGGCTTGGACGCAAACCTTCACTGGGTCAAGTCTGGGCCTCAGACGCACAGATTAGTCGTTTAAGATGTGCAGATCGACCACGACGCCGTGCGAGTGCAGCCATCACACACACGTGCTCCCTGTCACATGCAGCAGTGCTTTCAGCGTGCCTTTTTTTTGACAGCAGCTTCCGAAAGCGTATCGGGCTGCCCGTGTCTGCCAGTGGACTCACCCCACACAAGTCTGTTATCTACCCAGGTGCTTATCGGCGTACCTTAGCTACCTCGAGAGCTGGATCAACCTTCGGAGGACGAGTCTGCTGGACTTGTAGGCGATGGGCAAGGGGCCGGGGTTGGAGTCGCCACTTCAGTCGGAATCATCTCAGGATCAGGCATCTCCTGTTTGTGAGGACAAAGTTGCAGTGCGGCTTTTTGACGGCATGCAACATGTCGTTTACATGGAACAAGTTATAGGGTCCTTGCTGGATCTTGCAGCCTTGGCTTCGGACAGGAGCTCCTGCACAGATGCGAGGCGGCCGTGTCGGATCGTTTGAAAACAACCGTCGCAGCCTGAGTCGTCGTCAGCTGTGTCCACAAGGACATAGCCTTGTCCTCCCACTCTTTATCCTAAACCTTAAACTAGACCCTATGAACACGAGCGAGGAATGAATCTCAAACAAAGTGTGGTGGCCCGCGTCCTCCCATCCCGTCATGGCAGCCTCCATCTGGGAGTGCTCTTCCTGTACACATGTTACATGGATGACCGCAAGACTAAGACCCAGCTCACGTTTTTTTTAATCATCATACCCAGAGTGCCTGGTGCTTCTGGAGCAGCTCGCGTGAGTCCTGCATCTCCGTAGCTTCTTCCTTCATCCTGTCCTGGTCTGTGTGTGTGTGTCATCTGGATTTGAAATCATCTCATGTGATCACGATGATGGTGTGGCAGTCACTACCCTGCGTGCCTCCATCTGCTTTAGCGAGAGCGCGTGCTGCTCCTGAAAGCATAGTGAAAGTGAAAAGCAACGCCTATGTGACAGCGGACCAAACAGCTGACCTCCTGTTCTTTGAGGCGGCTCTTCAGGCGATCCTCGCAAAGCAATGCAAGGAAAACTCGGGGCTAAGATCATTTTGCTATTAAAGATCTGCGATGCTCGTCGGCCTGCTGCTCATTGCTGTCGTTCAACCCCATCTCCATGGCCGTCACCAAGCTCTTGTACTTCTGGAGCTCCTTCTGCGTCTCCTCCTGCAAGCGAACAAGGTTTGACGTGCAAGTCAGACCAGAAAAAGAGAAGGGCCGGCCTCCTTGAACTCCGACACTGCGAGCTCTTTCTGCGACGTCATCATCATGTCGTCCGCGAAGCTCTTCGCCTGGCTCAGATCTGTGAGCTCCTTCTCCATGGCCATCAGCTGGATTTTCAGCTCCTGCACATTCCGACCATGTCACCAACTGCTGCAGGCTAGTCTTCAAAGCAAGCTAGACTCCTTCACCTTGTTCTGCTCCTGCGTGAAGTACTGACGATGAACGGCCTTCCAGAAATCTAGGAAACCAAGGAAGGCAAGAAGTCAGACTCCGGGAACACACGGAAAGGCCTGGTCCTTCTCTCGAGCAGATTGCAACCCGGACACTTCCTTCTGCAGCTGGTCCTGTGGCGTTGGGAGGGGCTGAGACCGCGCGCTGATGCAACACCAGTTCCCGGTGTCCTTCTCCACCCTCAAGATCGCCCCTGCTCCGGTGGCCACGTCCAGCTGCGTGGACATCTCGTCCTTGCTCTTCTTCATGGAGGCAGCCAGGGCCTCGTACTTCTCGCAGGCAGCCAGCTCGGTTTTCGCGACATCCTGCAATATACCAGCCAAACGTGGATTCCGATTGGGAGTGCTGCGCACAAAACAACGGATGACAGGCCTGGGCATGGCTCTGGCCAGCGATGGCCTCCTGCAAGTGCTGCTTGAGCACGCCGACCTCTGCCTCACCGAATCGAAGCTAGTCGTTGCCGCCGTCGCTGTCTTTCTCTCTTCCTCTCTCTGGCTCTTTCCCTCTCTCTCCTCTAGATCTCGCTCTGGCTCTCGCTCTCTCTTGGGCGGAATGGGGGTGGGGTGTGGGGTGGGGGTGAGCCCCCAGCCCCCCAGCCCCCCAGCCCCTAGATCGAAACTTTACACCCTAAACCCCCCAAGCAGAAACAGGACTGGCGCCGCTGATGCTGCTGATGCTCGCGTACGGCGCGCGCGCGCGCGCGCGCGCGCGCGCGCGCGCCGTACGCGAGCATCAGCAGCATCAGCGGCGCCAGCCCCAGCCCCCAACCCAGCCCTTTTTTATTTTCTCCGTCTCTCTGGCTCTCTCTCTCTGTCTCTCTCTCCCTGTCTCTCTCTCTCTCTCTCTCTCTCTGTCTCCTCTTGTTGCGTCTGTATCTGTCCTTCTAACTGTCCTTCTTCTACAGCTGTCCCTCGTCCGGGCCTCCAACTTGTCGCCTCGGAAGCGCTCCTTCTGGACCTCCGCTATCCACTTCTTTCGCATGGCCTCTCTATCCTGTCCTGACGGGAGCTCCTCCTTGCGCTTCTTCTCCTTGCGACGACGCTCCTCCTCGCCGTTGCCACCTGAACCTGAGGCCCCGGATCCACCGCCGCCGGACCACCCAGCATAGTAGCCGCCATAGCCGCTCGAACCCTGCTGCCACGCCATGCTCGCAAAGCAAAGCCAGCTAGCTAGGCTCCAGCAACTGAAGCCCAGACGTCTTCGCAATTGTCGAGGACCCTAAACTCAAATTTATCCACTCCAGCCTGCACTTGTGATCCCAAGCATGAGGAAGCTCAGTGTCCCCTATCCGCACCACACTGGCCAACTCGCCCTGCCGAGGTTCGCGCGCGGTCATGGAGATCGGGGAAGCTCAGATGCCTGGGCCAGATTTGTTTCAAGGGAGTTACACCGAACCGGACGCAACATATTCCGGCATCTTCTCACTACATCACAGAACATGTAGGACCACTGCAAGGCATGCTACATCATGTCACGGCGCTTGCCTTATAACTACACCACCACTCCTGCAGATCATGTCGATGAGCGGTACTTCATACTTTGGAGCATCACCCGAGTGGCGAATTGATCAAGCTTTGTGTTGTGACTCCCTTCCTTGAAGCCGTACATACATGCAGACATGCCCATATACACGCCAACCACAATCACACATACATAGACACCACGGACAGGTAGACGCAAACGTACACAGACAAGTCTACGTATACATACACGTATAGGTCAGATGATCGGATACGGAGATGCAACCGCATGCGTCGGGTGTCCGCCATGACGACTTCTGCTGTACCTCTCTTTTCTCATGTACTTCTATTCGAGTGTGGGTCCGCAATGGCCCCTCGAGGCTGATGCCATCCGACCTGCAGGCGGGCAGGCCTGCTCCTGCAGTGAGTGAGGGCCTTGAAAACCAGACTTCGGAAGTGCGGTTTCCTAGAACGGGCTGGTTTCGGAAGTGCCTTCGGGAAGTGCTTTGAGAAGTGATGTGTTCCACAGCTGCACCCCAGCATGATTCATGGCTCGCAGTTTGGTCCAGACAGCCCCTGCGTGCACTTGCGATATCCGAGAGTGACTGCACTGATTCTCGTGGCACTTCAAACACCGCAGACAGTAGCAGCCCTATAAAATTCAGGTCATGTTTACAAGCACAGCTTTCCTGATTTTTTAAGTCATCTGTCCTGGTCCCGCTCTCCAGTTCTTCTTGCTTAGCCAAGCCGTTGCCATAAAGGGAGCGCTGTCCCGACGCACTACACGAAGTTCTTGACAAGGCCCCTTAGAGGCTGCACAGAATCTGGAGTCAGCGTCAGGGAAAGGTCAAGGTATTGATCACTCAAGCTGACCTGCCGTTGCAGCTAATCGAAAACCTGACAAACCGGCTCTGCCACTTCAGAAGTGCCATCTCGGAAGAATCTTCCGAGATGGAGCGGCTGCCACTGCCAGCCGAGATGGAGGCGATGACGATCCGAGACCTCCGCAAGGTTTGCACCAAGAATTCGCTGACGATCAGAGGCTCAAAGGCGGAAGTGATCCAAAGGCTGGACTCTTTTCGTCTTGGCTTGCAGGTCCCGAAACCACGGCCGACTCCGACTCCGCTTGCAGCATCTTATGAGCAACGTGCTCGTGAGCAAATTGGCCGCAGCAGTCACTACCGTTACACGATCTATCCGCGAGATCCTCAGAAACAGCGTGTGAGGAGACAGACGCAGTTCTATGTCCCAGCTGTTACCCGCGAGGAAATCGAAGATGACAACACCTCGGACAGCGAGGGTATCCAGTGCGACGGAGATGACAGCGAGAGTATGGACTGCGGCGAAGATGAGGAGGAAGAGGAGGAGAGCAGCGTTGTCCCATCAGAGCTAGATATGGACGAGGACATTGTCTCCGTGAGCGAGGAATGTTCCGATTCCTCCGTTTCGGAGGCCGAGTCCATGCATGCGGAGCAGGAAGCTGAGGAACAGAGCCCATTCGGGATTGAGATTGTGGAGGACCAAGCCTGCGGCTCTGCGGAGAAAGCTGCAACTGAGGCTGCTCCAGAACCGGAGGACGTGCTGCAGAGAATGGCCGAGGAGCTGGACCGCTGCCCCTGCTGAACCAGCTGAAGCTCCGGGCGCATCGCAGGACGCGTTTTGCCGGGAGCGAAGGTTCTCTAGGAATCTGCCTTCGTTCGCAGAAGATCGCGCGAGGGTGGCCTGGTTTCAGATTCGGTAGCACATTCGTAGGCTGGGCTTTTCGAGAAAAGCGGTAACAGCCTCTCCGGCAACAGCTTCTGACTGCTGACTCTTCGGCTGAAAACATGTCCCCGTGCATCCTGCGAATGTCATTGACTGGTTTCTCGTGGTTCTTAGCCCGATGCTGGCAGGCTTCGCCGTGAGATGCGCGGCATCAGCAGGCCCGATGTGATGATGTGCGTCACACTGGTTACTGGTTGAGTTGACTCATACCAAAGCTTTGGTCCATGTGTGCACGCCTTACTTGTCATTGCAGCGGTCATGTCTGCAAGCTTGCCGCCGTCGGCCTCTTCTGTTCAGTTTGGACTTGTCATTGTTGCCATTACCGGTAGAGGCTGCGGGGCAATCATGTCTCTTCTGGATGGCTTTGATGACGAGCCGCCGGCACGCGTGCCCAAAAACACGGAGGGCCTGGTCCACCAGCCAAGGGTTGCACGCTGGGCACAGCAGGCACAAGGCAGCATCACGGTGTCGCACAAAGACATGAAGACCTGCCAGCTTGCAGACGACATCTCGCACGTTCAGGCATGCAAGGATCCGGCAACTTGTCCCCGCTGCTTGTTTCTGCGGCAGAGGGACCATTGGTGCGAGGCAGGGCTATACCAGATTGACCTAGTGCGCTAAAGGTCTCAGAGTTCAGCCTTGTAGATCCCATTGCAGGTTGCCAGCTTGACGTCGGATCGCTCTGCAGCGGGGACGTGGTTAGAAGCGAGGATGTGCAGCAAGAACCGCTGGGGCTTGGGCTGCTTCGTGTGCCGACAAGCGGGCTTCATTTCACCGTGGGCCGAAGGCCGTGTGCAGACGCTGTCACTGGGTAATGTGCGAAGGCATGGCAACAGCAGCCAGCACGCGCGTGCGGCCAAGCAGGCTGGCTTTGATGGAGTGGACGACGACGAGGATGCCGCGCCAAGCTTGGAAAACTTCACAAAGGTGCTGCAAGCACGTTTGGAGGGTCGGCCTCTTTGCAGCAAGGTCGAGGGCATGGGCTCTTGGAAGATTGGCAAAATGACGTTCTGCTTGGCCGAGGCTGCCCGCGAGAAGACACGACAGGAAATTCGGGGAGCTGAGTCCATAGCGCTCAAGATGGACTCACGCGAAGGAATTTTGTTGCTGAGGTATACCTGCTGCGACAAGAGCCTGACTATCAGCAGGGGCATGGTGGGTTTCAAATTCGTACCAGAAAGAGAGACTTCATCTGCTTTGGTGGCCAGTGTCCGTCGCGTGCTGGAGGATCTGTGCACCAGCGGCATTGACGGCCAAGTGGACGTGGCTTTGGTCAATCATTTCCGCGAGAAAGTGGAGGTCGTCTGTGCTGACAAGGCTTCCAACGAACAAGTTGCTGGTCGCATGAGCCGTACCGGGCCGTCGGCTTTGTTCCCGAATAGCAAGGTTGTCAACCACGACTCGAGCCATGCAATGCAACGGCCGGCCCTGTCCAAACTAGGGAATCTAGGGATACGTAGCTCGTTGCTGACGTCTCTCTCTCTCTCTCTCTCTCTCTCTCTCTCTCTCTCTCTCTCTCTCTCTCTCTCTCTCTCTCTCTCTCTCTCTCTCTCTCTCTCTCTCTCTCTCTCTCTCTCTCTGCGATACAACCTCAGCTCAAACTCAGCAGATAAGTGCATGCAGCGTAGGCCGTCCAGAGTTTGCATTTGGAATCCCCCGGCAGGGTGCTCAAACGCCCTTGGGCGGCGGTGGAGCCGATCCAACGCATTCTCGAGGAGTGGGTCACCGGCGCCAACTCTGTCACTCAGATGATTGAACACAGCCACGGCATGGCCAGCGTGTACCGGAGCTACGTTCAGAAGCTCGAGGTGCCCATTAACGCGAAACGCATCCGAGATCTTCGCGCTGCAAAGCATCGGTTCTCTTCGTTGCAGAAGCCATTGGGCCGGGCCGTTTTGACCTTCGATGCCATGCTTTCTACGATACTGTGGGCTGCAGCACATCGGACCGGTGCAGAAAGAGACAGATGCCTGGCTTGCTTGGCATCGTTGTCCGAGGAAGGCCTCATACTGCTCGCGATGGCTGCAGACATCTCAGACGAGAATATGAGGGTGCTCCGTTTGTGCGATCAGGAAGAGTTCGACGCGGCCGAATTTCCTCAGGAGCTTGGCTGCCTGATGGACAGGCTGCACTTCCTCATCAACAAGGCCAGCTTGGCATGATGACATTTGTGCAAGGTATCATGTAACTTAGTAGCTAAGTACTATAGGTGACAGCTTGCAACTTGCAGCCCTACATTGCGTGAAGACCAAAATCGATGCATGGTTATAGTCGGTACTTAGGGACACGTAAGGGTTGGTACCTCTGCGTGCATCTCCTGCAGTTGCAGGGCGGTGTGCTTTCTCAAGGATACACGCAGTACATGATCGAGTACTTGCAAGATCAGCGTGGTTTCTTGCTGAAGAATGAGGCGAGAACCCTTGGTGGAGAGGGTCGTGTGAACGGAACGATGCTGGCAGGCTGCTGTGAGATCTTCAAGGCATATGTCCGCCTTGCTGTGCATACAGTGGAGCAGGAGTTTCCATACCACGATGTTTTGAGTGCCATGTCTGTCTTGAACATCCGCGAGAAGCGCAAGAATGAAGACAGTTTGGAACACCTCATGTGGACGGAACACCGCCAGGCCAGCTTGGAAAGATTGGCGCAGGTCTGCCATCAGGATCCGCAAGCGTTGCGAGATCAGTTTATGGATCTGGAGCCCATCGCACGCTACGAGGTTTCTGTGAACCATTGCACCAGCTTCGAGGGTTGGAGGGCAGCCGCGCTTCGCTGCCGTGCTAGCAAGCCACAGGTGCGACAGCGCCACAAGATTGACGCGATCTTGCCCGTTCTCATCAAATACGGCTGCTTCTGTGGGCTCTCCACATCGGGTGTGGAACAAAGCTTTTCGAAGCTGCAGCGCTTTCAACCCAAGGAACGAAAGTGCATGCTACCCACTACAGCGGAAGACGAAGCGTTCCTGATGCTCCTGCACGACTGCTCGGTGCACGAGTGGCTATCGCAGCGCGCGCGGCAGATTTGGCTTGACAACTTCGGCAAGCCCCGTGCCAGCTGCGCGACGCGCCTCGACCGTGGGGTTCCGAAACGGAAGGACTCATCCTGATGGTTATAAGGTCCGGGGTTGCTGTGAGGATAGGGGTCTGCGGTTTCGCACATCCAGTCTGTGGTAGGTTGAGGTCTGCGGGATTTCATAGCATTTGCAGGATCCTCAGTCCGAGAAGGCTTTCATAAAGAGGCGCCGGATGGAGGTCGACAAAGGCGCTCTGCCCGTGGATCCAGCAGAGGTGCTGCAGGCCGCTGAGAATGGCTGCTGGGTCAGCCAAGCTGTTTTAGACGAAGAAGGTTGGCAAGTCAGCGAGAAGTACGGCAACAAAGTCATGGCCTACCTGGACGGAGCTCTGCTCGAGTCCGAAGTGGACTTGGCTTTGGTGGAGACGGCCGTGGCTTTAAGAACGCATCAAGAGCGTCTCGATGCTGGGCGAGTAGCACGCGAGAATGCTATCGTGCAGCAGCTCCGGCCAAAGAAAGTGAACGTGCAAGCAGGCTCCTTCTACGTGGCAGATGCAAGATGGGTGGCCGAGCACGGCCTGAGCAACTCCCGCGCCACCGTGACTCTTTCTGAGGCCTCGCACTACGTGGTTGCGGACCCTGGGGACCCGGGCATGCCGGTGTTGTTTGCTGCAGTGCTTCAGGGAGGGCTGTTATGCAATGTCGAATACGCACGATCCAAGGGCAACTCTGGGGTGGCCTTTGCGTTCGATGCTGCCCTACTAGTGAAGCGCTTCATTTTCCTTTCAACAGCATTCCTGCGGTCGGAGTCGCAGGTTGCTCAGGTGGTCCTGGAAGCAGTCAGCCGTGCAGAGTCGAAATGGTCGCAAATTCATGCATTGGACGAGTTTGTGGAAAGAAGTTTGCGTTTCCGTGGGCAGAAGAAGAACTTCCTCTGCGTAGGGCTCTTCGCTGATAGCGAAGAGCACAAGATAGCAGGGGAGCCCAACATGTTCACGAAGAAAGGGTTCCTGAAATTTGTATGCAAGTCTGCGGTTGCGATGACTGGGGTTCGTTGTTGAAAACATAACCTCCGGCAGCTTACCCAGAAGTCTCCTTGCCAGTGCATCTGTCCGAGAGAGTCGCAGCCAACCCTGATTTTTTACGTTGTCCTAACTTATAAGACTCAAGGGCAGAGGCAAGGGCATGCATGTTGCAATGTGCCACCAAGAAGAGGGGAACGGTGCCCCAGGGATCAGGGAGGGCAGCTGAGATGAGAAATATTCACTCTTGCGTGCATTTCTGTGTCGCCGACCGCTGCGCATTCAGACTCATGCAGTCACTTCCGCTTGCGCTGCTGCAGGTGCATGTGGCCAAAAGAACCGCACGCAGGCCCGGGTGCGTGAGTCTCTGAGTGTTTGTACACTGACATGTGGGTCTGTGCATGATACACGCTTGTCCTACACTGCCATGATAGCTGTCGCATGCATGATCATCGCAATTGAAACTGTGCGGATGTGGAGCTCTGCAGCTCTTTGGGTCGTGGATTTGTAGACCGCCATTTCGGCGCTTCTTGTCATTGCCTCGTCTCCTCAGACTTGATTCGTCATGCCGCCCAAGAAAAAGGCCGGTGCGAAGGCCAAGGTCAGCGCAAAGGCAAGTTCGTCTGCCGCGGATGCGAATCAGGGCGAGGAGGCGACAGCCACCCTTCCAGAGAATTTAAACTTGGAGCACGATGCAGCAGTCAACCGTGCGATCGAGAACATCCTTGGATGTCCGGCATTCGCCGATATCCTGACTGCTGCGCCCATCGGCATCAGCACGACTGACGTTGCGGAGCACCTCAGTGGACACAAGGACCTCCTTCAAGAATTTAATCCAGGGGCAGTCCGGACTGAAGTTGTAGGGCTGCATGCAATTTTGTTCGTAGTTATGTAGTCGCTGGAACGAGAGCTAAACCTGCATTGCGGGAGCCACTGTGCGGGCTGCGGTTGGGCTTTGACCAGGATGTTCTTCCAAGGTTTCCCTCATCCTTACGCTGACTTCGGCTGTGGTTTTCCGCAGGCGTGACACTGGGGCTGTGTTACGGGGCAGTTTCCTGTCCTCTCAATGTGTCACTGGGTGTGACGCCCAGACGTTCGAAAATCCTGTCACCCAGAAATAGTCTTGAAACTACATTATAACATGATGAACTGGGTGCCAGGTGCAGGAGAGGCGGGTTTGGTGTGTCACGGGGCCTTTTGCTGAGGTCTCGGCACAGGCGTGACAGTTGCAGGTGTGACGCGGAGGCTTTTCTGTGTTACGGCTACCTTTGCTGAGACTTGAAGACAGGCGTGACGCGAAAGCGGGTTTGTCTGCGTCACGGGGCCGATTGCTCTTCTTTTCCTAGGCGTGCCAGGCTCAGCTGGTGCAGGTGTGACGCGAAGACGGGCTTGGTGTGTCACGGGGCCTTTTGCTGAGGTTTCCGCGCAGGCGTGACAGCTGTAGGTGTGACGCGGAGGCTTTTGTGTGTTACGGCTACCTTTGCTGTGCTTTGAAGACAGGCGTGACGCGGCAGCGGTTTGTCTGCGTCACGAGGCCGATTGCGCTTCTTTTCCTAGGCGTGCCAGGCTCAGCTGGTGCAGGTGTGACGCGAACACGGGTTTGGTGTGTCACGGGGCCTTCTGCTGAAGTTTCGGCACAGGCGTGACAGTTGTAGGTGTAAAACTGAGTTGTGTGTCTGCGTTTGCTGTGTTCAACACCAGTGTGCTATATATATAGTAGGTGGAACGCGGGGCTTGTCTGCGCGACGGGGCCGATGCTGTACTGTGAGTTGTAACGAGGAGGCGGGCTGGTCTGTGTCACGGGGCCGACTGCTCTTGTTTTCCTAGGCGTGCCAGGTGCAGGTTTGACGCGAAGACGGGTTTGGTGTGTCACGGGGCCTTTTGCTGAGGTTTCAGTACTGTACTGTAGGTGTCACGCGGAGGCTTTCGTGCGTTACGGATGCTTTGGCTGCGCTTTGAAGACAGGCGTGACGCGTGATGCTGCGGCTTGTTTGCGTCACGGGTCCCTTTGCTGTGTTCAGAACACAGGCGTGACAGATGCAGGCGGGACGTGCAGGCTGGCGTGCGTTAGGGGCCCGATTGCGGTTCTCTTGGTTCCCTGGGCGTGACTTTGCCAGGTGCAGGAGAGGCGGGTTTGGTGTGTCACGGGGCCTTTTGCTGAGGTTTCGGCACAGGCGTGACAGTTCTAGGTGTGATGCGGAGGTTTTTGTGCGTTACGGCTGCCTTTGCTGTGCCTTGAACACAGGCGTGACAATCGTAGGGGAGGTTCGTCTCTGTTACCGGGGCCTTCTGCTGTTGTTTCAGACAGGACTGTACGCGTTACGGGGCCGGCTAGGTGGCGGTTCCGTTCTTTGCCCAGCGAATGGGTCGGTGTAACGCGCAGCTTTGCGTGCGTTACGGGTGCGCGTGCTGCTCTTAGGACAGGCGTGGCTGTGACGTGGAGGTTTGGGGGCGTTACGGGGCCTTCTGCTGCGGTTTTCCGCGGTGTGACGTCACGGGCCTTTGGTTAAGGAGGAATGGCTCATGCCAACACACGGTCGGGGAACTGCCCGACCGTGGGCTGTGCCTGAGGCGAGGCTGTTGTAAGCACAGGGGTGCGCACCCCTATGCTTCCATCAGCCGGCCAACTGCCCGGCTGATGGAAGGACTGCTTGCGACACCCTCCGCCCTGATGTAAGAATAGGGGTGGGCACCCCTGTGGTTACATCAGGGGGGAGGGTGTCGCAAGCAGTCCTTCCATCAGCCGGGCAGTTGGCCGGCTGATGGAAGCATAGGGGTGCGCACCCCTGTGCTTACAACAGCCTGCCAGGATTCCGTGAGAGGAGGGCTGGGAATGAAACCCCCTTGCAGGAATGAAGGCCACGGCTGGTTCAAGGGTGGCCTGCGTCACGGGGCTTGTCCTGCAGCTCGTCACGTTTTTTGGGGCCTGATCTGCTAGTATCCCTTTCCGTGGCAAGTTTGATTGGCTGCATGCGCGTTGCCTCTGCTTGTTTTTGCTTGTCTCTGGTGGCTTATGTTTGCGTAGGCCCGGGGAGCTTGAGTGGCGTCCTGTGTCACGGGCTTTATTCGTCTGTACTTGCGGTTTCCCTGGGCATCCTCTAGTTTCCAGAATACATGTCAAGTCTCTGTGGCTTGGTGTTTCGTGGGGCCTTGTTCTGTTTCTCCAGAGTTCCTGCGGAAGTAGCACGTTTCAGTGGCTGTGGGCTGCCAGGATGCCTTTGAGCAGAAGAAGTATGACGCGGCGTTCTTTCGCCACGGGAAGTATGCTGCGGCCGGAAACCTCTTCTGGCTGAATCTGAGGTGGAGTCCCGCCAAAAGCGTACCTACCAATCGCAATGGGGTGAAGATGCTGCAGGCAAGGATTAAACGGGAGAGGAGCTTCGACTACAACCTCGTCGTTGCAGTGGCTCCTGATGGTGCCTTGGAGCTCGGGAACCTCCGAAGGATCTCGGCACAGGAGTACGACGAGGCCTTGCTCTTGCTGGTGAGTGAAGTGATCGATGCGGCCCCAGACGTGTCGGAGCTTCTGTCCCTGGGCTGTATAGGAGACCTCGCAAGTCTCACCAGCGCGGCTTGCGGTGTTGTTTCAGACTGGTATGTGACTGCGAGGTTCTGGCGCAAAATCGTGCTTTCCGTGACCTTGTGCTTCGAGCAGCATGCGAGTCCCATGGACGCCTTCATCAGAAGCGCGATTGCCTCAGAGACATGAGAAGCCTATATCAACTTGTATGTTGCATGCGACACAACATGACAGTGCTTGTGAGGCATCACGGAACAGAGCGGTAGTTTCGCATAAGGGCCCTTTGACATTTAGGGTGCGGAAGCATTCTCAGGTCAATCTCCGCAACGATATTGCCGACGAGTTCGAAGCTGTGCTTCGCAGTGGACCACAGAGAATCATGGAACTCATGCTGTTCCGGAAGCGTTTGGAGGCCGCCAAGGGAGGTGGCAAAATCACCAACGAGCAGGTGTACGAGGCCTGGATCCGCCAGATCCCGAATCGGGAATCCAAGGTGCTGGAGAAGGTGAGCCTGGATTTCGTCTGCGCTGCGCAGAAGATCTATACCAGGCTTCTTCAGGACAGCGATTTGCGAAGCTTGGTCTTCCAGTTGGAAGAAAGCTGGGGCAAGGCCAGCCCTTTTTGCCAGCTTGGGACTTTGGAAAAAGTCGTGGTCAAGGCGACGCCGATCGGCTGGACCCTTCGCACCGTGAAGTTCATGCTTGAGACACAGATAGCCTTTCCTCGCGACTTCAACGCCAGCACGCTGGTGCCTGGCTTGCATGTGTGTTTTTAAGGCTTTCCCTATATGCCTGCCGCAACATGCTAATTTCAGAGACCCGCGAGGACCCTCCGCGTGGCAAGGGCCTCATCACGCTGTTCAACTTCAAGCACGAACTGCTGCAGCACCTGCTGACGTCATTTCTGGAGTCGCTGCCGATGCCATTCGATGACAAAAAGGAGATTCGAGACCGGTGCTCCTCGCACCAGCTCTTCCTGGACAACTCGCGTCCCGAGAACATGCAGTGGCAAAGCACAGTGTGTGAGGCTGCGCGGAAGGTTATCGCCTTCCTGAAGGCTCGGGTTTTGACGTGTTGCCACCAAGTTGCGCTCCCACGGAATCTTTGTCCCGTTGCTATGCGAGTGTGTGAATCAGCGGCGGTGTCAGGCAGATGTCTACGGTGTGACCAACGACGGCCACTACAAGACTTCCCTGCGCGGTACCATTGTTTTCAAAGACTTGTTGACGCAATGCTCCCACTTGGCCGACAGTCTTGATGAAATCCAGACTGTGGCCAACAAAGGGATGGTGGCTCCGGGAGCCGCTGCAGATGAGCAGGTGCCCGGCGCCCCTGCAGCGGCGCCGGACATGAGTTTCGTGGACCCTAAGATTGTAGCGGTGGATGACTCGAACGAGCTTGCAAGGTGGCAGGCCAGCACCAGATTGGTTTCGCATTGCATGGAGGGTCGGGAGCAGGCATGAGTTTGTAAGCTTGTATTCTGGGATGATAGTTGCAATGGGAGGAACACATCCAGACAACAACGGACCAATTCGTGAAGCTCATTCCTGACACTTCATCCTCCTACACAGAGCTGGCAGCGGCTCTCGGCAACACGGTGGTGAAGAGCTGCAGGCCGTATGATGCAAATCTCCCGCCCACCGCTCCTTCGCAGGGATCTGTCATGTTGTACATGGACACGAAAACAATGGGGGAAGCCTCGGCTTTGCCTCATTGCCGGCTCCCGCCATTCCAAAAGTCCTGGGTCACCAAGTTCCTCCATGGCTTCGTGAAAGCTCGCTTCGAGGGCGTGGGTGAGGACCCGAGCCAGGACGGGGGTCTAAGTGCTGATGCAGGGTTGGGGAGCAGTACATTACATCCGCATTGTTGCATGCCCGTGCATGTTGCCACATGCGGCAGGAGGGCGAGCTCATCAGAGGGGACATTGTCGCGATCTTAGACGGGGGCCGCGAGGGCCTCTCGTCGCAAATCGCCAGCGTCTTCACCAATTATGCGGCGACGACGGGCAGCAACATGATGACCAAGGCCCGCAATCCTTTCTATGTGGTTTACTCTTTGGAGGGTATCCAAGACAGCAGAGAGCGCATTCGCGGCATCTGCAATCAGATGGAGTCTATGAGCATCTACACTCTCGATGGGTTGTGGCTTCCCAAGCGCAAGCGCATTGTGCTCGATGGCGCCAACAATGGCAACGTCTTTAACCCTGTTGCAGGGCTAGGCTTGGACCACAAGGATACCTGGCTTCTCAGCCCAGCTGACCGCAAGAAGGTCTACACCTCATCTGCGAAAATCCTGGTTGGGGGGACTGTCCCGGACGCACCGGCGAAGCCCGTGTGCAACGCCGGGGAGCCGGTTTCCTGGCACCTGACGCATCCGTCTCTGTACCTGGAAGTGCTGAATGCCTTCAACGTCAAAGTGATGGTGCAGGCATACGCCATGGACCACTTGATGGCCTTGAAGCGCCTCGTCTGTACTTTACGCAGGCCTGGAGTCCGGCATTCTTTTACTGCGAGCGTTGCAGCATCTCAGGTGCGTCGAGCGTCGCATCCCTTTCGTGGGAATCGTCTTGAATGGGGATCACCTGGAGCTTCTGAAGGCCAAGATTAAGCTGGAGCTCTACAAAGCCATGCTGGATCCGGAGCATGAGCTCTACGAGGTTGGCTTGACTCTCGCCAGCACGTTCGAGGCACGCGCAATACCCGCACGATGCATGAGCGCGCGATGGCGATGCATGCACACACGCACGATGCAGGCTCTAAGGCAACACCTCCACTAGTAAGCTTCTCGGTCTGTGAGGGGATGCCACAAGAACAGCTTGTCAACTCTGAAGCTTGAACCTAGCAGCCTGTGCACCATTGCAGCCAAGGGCCGAGTTGGTGAAGAACTTGAAGAAGAGGGCGGACGGAGACGCCAAGGAGGAACCCGCTCCCAAGGCCAAGTCGAAGGGAAAGACTCCGAAAACCCCTCCTCCCAATACCACAGGCACATCGGGGTCTTCCGCAAACGCGGGCACTTCCGGTGCTGAAAGCTCGACCCCCGCCGTTGTGGAACCGCCTCTCAAGAAGAGCAAGGGCGCCAATGCTGCAGAGGCGGCCAGAGCGGAGCTTCTGAAGAAGCTTGCTGGGTGAGCACGGCTGCCAGTTTGGACGGCCATGATTTTGAAGCGTGAAGCGGCTTCTTGCTTTCGTGTCTCCCTGAGGACAGCTTTGCAAGAGTATTCACACTCGTCAAGTAGGTGTTTGGTGCCACGAAAACACAGCTTCGCCGCTTTGACAGAATCTGCGCGTCTCAAGACAAACAACGCCAGACTGTTTTGGATCCCCTGGGTCATCAGCGAATGAGTCTAGTTGAGTAGAGTCCTTCAATGCACACTCAGTAAGAAAGCTTTCTTTTGCTGTTGGCTCCAAGTTCTGGGGGCCCCGCTGTCCTTGGCGTGCTAGCTGCCTTGAAGAAATCGTGCCGGGCAATGCGCCCAGAAAAAAAAGTCCATTCGTGAAGCTCTTGCACGCGCCCGCGTGTAAGCAAGTTCCAGTTGCGATGCGAGTGCAGGTGGAGCTGAGCGTGCACGCAGCTGCAACTGTCCATGCTTGCCGTTGTCCGTGTGCATTTGCTCCAGCTTGCAGCAGGATGCTCTTGACTCAGTGGCGGCGCATGCCATGTTGAATGTGGACTGGGACGATGACGATGATGTTCAGGACGTGATGCCCGCGAAGAAAGCCCGCCGTCGTGGCCCCATGAAGGTTCAGAAGTGCGACAAGGTCCAAAAGCGGCCTGCGTTGCAGAAGACCCCACGACAGCGAATCATGAAGCATGTGCCTACTGCCGAAAGCGTCTTGGGCCACATTGACAAGCACCCATTGCCTGAGGCTGCGGACGAGATACGCCCTTGCGAGGACACCATTTTGGTCGGCTCGGTGTGCTCTGGCTTGTGCGCCGAGCTATGGAGCCTGAATGGTATGGGGCGGCGCTTCCGAGCAACTTTCTGCTGCGAGAGCAATGCTGGCCTGCGCAAGCTTTCCATGAGCATGCACACTCACGACTATGTCTTTTGCGATGTTTTTCTGGAAGACTGGATGGCAGTGAGCTGCGACCTGTTCTTCGCTGGCTTTCCTTGCCAGGGTTTTAGCGAATGCCAGCCAGCGGGAACAGCAGGCTTGACACACATCAGTGGATCGTGCATCTTCCCCATCCTCCGTTACATCAGGCACAGACGACCCCCAATGTTTTGCCTCGAGAATGTCCGCGGCTTGTTGACGCTCTACCCCGAAACCTTTGCCATGATTTTGGGAGTCCTGGACGGCATGACGGATGAGAGGGGCCGGAAGCTGCTGCTGTACTGCATCTTGCGTGAGTCGTGAGCCGTGAGCAAGAATCTCTAGAGGCGCACCACTACTTGCTACCAATCCAAGGTACTCTGTGAGTTGGAAGGTCTTGGACACATGCAGGGTCACCACCTTGCCCCAGCATCGAGAGCGCTTGTTTGTGACCGGTTGCCTGACCTCGGCTATGCAGCGTCCGATGAGCTGGCCACCAGAGGCCATGGTTTCCATGAACGTGATATGTCCATGAACCGCTGTCTTGACAGGAGTTCTTCCTTTAGCTTTCGAACCTGCCAGGTCAATGCCACCCGTCCGATCCACGACTTCATCCGGCCCCTGCCTGGCGATGACTGCCAACGCCTACCACAAGCTAGGGGTCAGCAGAAACAGCTGAGGAAAGCACATGCGCGGATTCGAGCGATGGGAGGTGATCCATCAACGGAGCACTGGTTCGCTGACATTTTCAGCAGCCTAAAGCGCGCTCCGAACGTCATGAAAGGACGAGTTCCCTGCCTCTTGCGCTCAAGACCAGCGGGTGCGTGGTTGACCTGGCTGGGACGCACTATGACACTGGATGAACTGTTCAAGCTCATGGGCGTGGATCCTGCGTCCGTTCCGCGCGACATTTTGTCCGCGCGCGCACTGGGGCAAGCTGCCGGGAATTCTGTTCCAGTAGATCTGCTCCGTTTAGTGCTGGCGGGGATTTTGGAAGCCAACGGCAAGTGACCGTTCCGTGACAGCGTGGCTTTGTGCGAGCTTTCGTAATTAAGAGCTTCGGGCAAGTGGCAATTCATCCACACATGCACTGTAATGTAGGTTAGTATAAACTGAAGTTGGTGCGGTCAAGCTGTGAAGAGCTGGAGACGGCTTTCACCCTCGTACGCACGTAGATGTACTCTTGGAATAGCCATGCGAGAACGGGTCCGCAAAAAAATTGGATATCCTGCAAGGGAGCTTGTGCTTGGAGTTTCAAGCTTCGATTCCATTGCGCATCCAAAGTTCAGTGGGATTGTTACGGGATGCGGGGTCCGCAGGGGAACGGGGGCTACATGGTTCAGAAAGTGCAGGTGCACACGCGCGCACTTGATCTGTCTCTCGTCTCTCTGTCTCTCTCGCAAACTCTTTCTTTCTTTCTCTCTCTCTCTCTCTCTCTCTCTCTCTCTCTCTCTCTCTCCCTCTCCCTCCCTCCCTCTCTCTCGTTTTGCCTCTCTCTGAGGTCTGTCCGGTGTCTGTGTGTGGTGCTGCTGTGTAAATACATGGGTCGCATTCTTTCCTCAGTCATTCGTTCTCGGTCCCAGTGAAACTGCCAGCATGACTCCGTCATGTGACAGGTTGTGCGCAAGCTAGCCTAGCCTTGTTCAGCTAGAAATCCGTAACGTACTTCGTGCCACAGGGGCAAAACTTCCAATCCAGAAATTTTTGAAACTTTCCGCAGGCGGTGCAGCAAACCAGCCCCTCCGTGGAGGGACCTTCTGCGGCCGCAGGCGTGGGATTCTGGGAAGCCACACCTGCAACCACCGGTGAGAATGCCTTCTGCACAGCTTCTCGTTGTAGATCTCGACGAGGACACACATAAACCTTTTCTATGATTCTCGGCGATGTTGCCGTGATTTGCCCAATCACTGTGGCCGTAGCACACTCGCTGAGGAGAGTGGCACATGATTTCTTACCGCTGTGCGACGTCACACGCTGCAGGTTCACGTCCTGGAACGGATGGAGCTGTCCTTGTCTGCGAGCGCAGGCAAGTTCTCTTGCTATTGCCTGCTGCGCGTCCACCAGAACGTAGTGATAAGCCCGAGTTGTAACTGCTTTCGCGAAGTTACGACGAGAATTACCGCCAACCATCTTGCCAGGAAACAGGTACTGCCACTCGAAGGCTGACACGTCTGAGCCTTGGATCAGCGCATGGGTTTGCTCACCTATCTCGAGTTGAAGGGGCAAGTGGCTTTCAGGGTAGCTTAGATGGCGGCTGCATGTCCAGCTTAGCACTCATACCTGAAACTCTGTGCTAGTAGCTTTTGCTGACTCGTCTCCGCTTGGTTGATAGATTGATTGTCTGGCCACGGAATGGCCACTGTTGGTTGTCGGCCCCTTGTAATGGCTCCTCGAGTATCCACCTCCGGAGCAGCGCAGCAAAGTCCAGGTGAAGTGGAACTTCATGAGCCGTCGTCTTCTTGTTGACGCGGGGCACTTGCAGGCTGGGTCTTTGATCACTTTCCGTGATTCGTAGCCAGGAGGCACAGGCAACCGATGTAGCTTCTGCTCTCTCCCCACACATGATGCTTAACAAAAAAAGCACAGCAGCCCATGGGCGTTGCCAGGCCAAGATTCTGAACAGGTGGACGATCTGCTGCGCATCTAGCGCCTCGCGACCTCCCCGTCGTTGTTTGTCCTTGAGTAAGCATTTTTGACGATGTTCCGGGCAGCAGAACCGCACCAGCTGCGCTGTGGCATGCAGCTTCCGTGTCTTAGACGAGTCCACTGCTGCATAACTCGCTGTGATGCCTTTGTTCTTGCAGCAAACATTCGTCCGTGTACATCCTGTGAAGGCACAGATGATTTTAACCCGGCTTCCGGTTCCACGCTTCGGACCTCGTGCAGGCTGGACTCCTACTCTGCGTCGCTTGACCATGGCTGTGCAAGTCGATCCGGTTACTTGAGCTTTGCGGCAAGTAGGGACGTGTGAAGAATTGGATCCATTGTCTCATTGCAGGCTAGTCAACCAGACCTCACAAGACCATTGCCGTGCATAGCATGAAGACATCTGGTTCATGCTTGCATGAAGCACTTGCACGAGGGCACTTCCGAAACCAGCCCGGTCTAGGAAACCGCACTTCCGAAGTCTGGTTTTCAAGGCCCTCACTCACTGCAGGAGCAGGCCTGCCCGCCTGCGGGCGAGCACCGTGGCAAGCAACTGCCTGCCATGCCGCTGGGGGGGGGGAGGGGTTCCGGTCTCGCTGGACATCTTATGTAGATCAGCAAGGTTGTGTCGGGTTTAGGGTTCCGTCAGAAAATGTTTTGAGAGGGCACTGAAATGCAGCACAACAACATCTGGTGCGGAGGTTGTTGTCACACCTGACACTTCGACATTGATTGTCCACAAGGACAGCGCCTCTACAGCCAAGTCTATTCTCAGTCGGCAATTGCAATCATGTCACCTTACTTGACTGATGCGTATTCGAAGTCCACTTGCGAGGACACTGCCTGAAGATGGCTCAGCACGCATCTCTGGTTCCGGTGTTTCGCAAGCTTCAGCGCGGTTGAACTATCAGGTAATTTGATTTAAGGACCCGGAGTTATAGAGCGGGTCTCCTGATCTGAGGTGCCATGGATGCCTCACCCTAGCTGCAGGAACCCCGGAACACATTCCTGGGTCGACTGTGTTTGAGGCCTGCGCCACAGGCCTGGAGACATCCTCTGCGCAGGAACCTCGGCAGGGCAAGTTTTGATTCTGCCACTGCCACTGCCAGTGTGTTGCAAAACCGTGCTCTTTTAGGGCTCCCAGAACCCCTGCTGCGAAGACATCTGGGCTTCAGTTGCTGGAGCCTAGCTAGCTGGCTTTGCTTTGCGAGCATGGCGTGGCAGCAGGGTTCGAGCGGCTATGGCGGCTACTATGCTGGGTGGTCCGGCGGCGGTGGATCCGGGGCCTCAGGTTCAGGTGGCAACGGCGAGGAGGAGCGTCGTCGCAAGGAGAAGAAGCGCAAGGAGGAGCTCCCGTCAGGACAGGATAGAGAGGCCATGCGAAAGAAGTGGATAGCGGAGGTCCAGAAGGAGCGCTTCCGAGGCGACAAGTTGGAGGCCCGGACGAGGGACAGCTGTAGAAGAAGGACAGTTAGAAGGACAGATACAGACGCAACAAGAGGAGACAGAGAGAGAGAGAGAGAGAGACAGGGAGAGAGAGACAGAGAGAGAGAGCCAGAGAGACGGAGAAAATAAAAAAGGGCTGGGTTGGGGGCTGGGGCTGGCGCCGCTGATGCTGCTGATGCTCGCGTACGGCGCGCGCGCGCGCGCGCGCGCGCGCGCGCGCGCCGTACGCGAGCATCAGCAGCATCAGCGGCGCCAGTCCTGTTTCTGCTTGGGGGGTTTAGGGTGTAAAGTTTCGATCTAGGGGCTGGGGGGCTGGGGGGCTGGGGGCTCACCCCCACCCCACACCCCACCCCCATTCCGCCCAAGAGAGAGCGAGAGCCAGAGCGAGATCTAGAGGAGAGAGAGGGAAAGAGCCAGAGAGAGGAAGAGAGAAAGACAGCGACGGCGGCAACGACTAGCTTCGATTCGGTGAGGCAGAGGTCGGCGTGCTCAAGCAGCACTTGCAGGAGGCCATCGCTGGCCAGAGCCATGCCCAGGCCTGTCATCCGTTGTTTTTGTGCGCAGCACTCCCAATCGGAATCCACGTTTGGCTGGTATATTGCAGGATGTCGCGAAAACCGAGCTGGCTGCCTGCGAGAAGTACGAGGCCCTGGCTGCCTCCATGAAGAAGAGCAAGGACGAGATGTCCGCACAGCTGGACACGGCCACCGGAGCGGGGGCGATCTTGAGGGTGGAGAAGGACACCGGGAACTGGTGTTGCATCAGCGCGCGGTCTCAGCCCCTCCCAACGCCACAGGACCAGCTGCAGAAGGAAGTGTCCGGGTTGCAATCTGCTCGAGAGAAGGACCAGGCCTTTCCGTGTGTTCCCGGAGTCTGACTTCTTGCCTTCCTTGGTTTCCTAGATTTCTGGAAGGCCGTCCATCGTCAGTACTTCACGCAGGAGCAGAACAAGGTGAAGGAGTCTAGCTGCTAGCTTGCTTTGAAGACTAGCCTGCAGCAGTTGGTGACATGGTCGGAATGTGCAGGAGCTGAAAATCCAGCTGAAGGCCATGGAGAAGGAGCTCACAGATCTGAGCCAGGCGAAGAGCTTCGCGGACGACATGATGATGACGTCGCAGAAAGAGCTCGCAGTGTCGGAGTTCAAGGAGGCCGGCCCTTCTCTTTTTCTGGTCTGGCTTGCACGTCAAACCTTGTTCGCTTGCAGGAGGAGACGCAGAAGGAGCTCCAGAAGTACAAGAGCTTGGTGACGGCCATGGAGATGGGGTTGAACGACAGCAATCAGCAGCAGGCCGACGAGCATCACAGATGTAGCATTTTCCTTGCATTGCTCTGCGAGGATATCCTAAAGAGCCGCCTCAAAGCAGAGGAGGTCAGGTGTTTAGCCCGCCATCACATAGGCGTTGCTTTTCGCTTTCACTATGCTTTCAGGAGCAGCATGCGCTCTCGCTGAAGCAGATGGAGGCACGGAGGGAAGTGACTGCCAGACCATCATCATGATCACATGAGATGAAGTCAACTTCAGCTGACACTGACACAGACCAAGACAGGATCAAGGAAGAAGCTTCGGAGATGCAGCTAGACGAGATGATGCAAACTTCTCATGACACATGCCAGGACTCGGCGAAGCAGGAGCTCCAGGAGATGCACAGCCGGCTAGAGAAGCACCAGGCATGATGGTGAAAAGCAGTAAACTGGGTCTTGCTGTCATCTTTGTGTGGCCTGGGTCAGGCAGAGCAGTCTGAGATGGAGGCAGAAATGACAAGGCTGGAGGACGCAGGGCCACAATTTGTCATTCAGAGCGCTTGCTCGTTACAGCTGCATCGTCAGCTTATCGTAATCCACCGTATGGCGAACGAGGCGACTAGCATGCCCACCATGCTTCATTGACTGCAGAAAAAAATGACCCTTTTGGCAGGACGAGTCTTTGTCACTCTGGATGAAGCTCCAGGCATCCGAAGAGAGAGCGGCGAGCTGCACTGAGGACACCCTATAATATCATAGCTTCCCCGACTTGGACTCGAATGATTACTGCTTGCACTAGCTGGAACAGGACCCGGAGCCACGTGTGCCACCAGAGGCTGTTGCAAGAAGCCCCAGTGAAGAGACAGCAACTGAGGTCGCGACTCCGACTCCAGTAGGACCCGGATCGCCCAGAGGGTCACCCACTAGTCCAGCAGGCTCTTCCTGCAGTTGAGTATCTTTGAGACAGTCAAGCACCTAGCCCCGATATTATAGAACTCAGGTAGATAACAACAGCAGATTGATGATGAACAGCCTGCTGGCAAATGCGCATATCGAGATTCCGCATGAGAAGCTTCCGTTGCACTCGGCAAACCAGAAAAAAAACAGGTCACAAGGGCATGCTGCTACGACTGCTACATGCGACAGTGGTTTCAACAATCACAAGTGCTGCGCCAGAAGCAACTGAAATTCGAGAAGCCGCCCAAGCATGCTATCCGGTGTGCTCAGGTCGCAACGTCTGGGTCGCAGTCAAGTCTGTTTGGGCCTCAAGCCCAGGGTATGCGAAGTCTTGTGCTGCATTGAATTGGTGCTCTCCAAGTCTTCAAGACTGGGACCGTCACTCACCAGCTGCACTGCGACAGAACCCGGCTTGATCGGCCTCAGGATTCGCAATCATTCGCATGACTCCGCATGACTGAACGCCGGCACCTGAGTCTGGACCTTTGCGCTATCGCAGCGCAGACACTTGGGATGATGTTGGAGGAGGTCGCGCTGTCGCAGCGCCACCCTCCCCCTTTTTGTGTTTCTGCGCGCTATCGCAGCGCATCCGGTCATGGGATGAGACGCACTATCGCAGTGCGACCCTCTCTTGAAGTTCGGGAGGGCGCGGCGTCGCAGTGCACCCCCCTGTATTCTTTTTAGTTTCTAATGCGTGGATGCTAGTCACGAAGATGACCCTTAAACCCAAAAGGACACCTGTCTAAACCTGGCTCCTGCCCTCCTTCCTTTCACTTCACCTTCCTGCAGACTCTCCCGTCTTTCTCCTGATGCTGCTGATGCTTGCGACTTTCTGAGTGGGGTAGGGAAGGGAGGGGATGGGCCGGGAAGGAAAGGATAGTGGGGGAAGAAGGGAGAGGAGCGAGGGGTAGAGAGAGGACGAGGGACGGAGGGGAAGGGGGAGGGGGGGCGTGTGAGGTGTGGACAAGCACGTGCGGTGAAAGGGAGGGGGCGGGGGGCGGACAACGCCCGGAGCCCAGCTGATGCTCGTGGGTGCGGGGGGGCCACATTGTCTGGACAACGCCAGGCCCAGCCGATGCTCATGATGCTGGCTGGGTGGGGGCCGCATTGTCCGGACAACAGCTGATGCTCATGATGCTCGCCCGGGGCCCAGCTGATGCTCATGATGCTGGCCTGGGTGTGGGGGCCCGGGGCCCATGATGCTGGCCTGGGTGTGGGGGCGCATTGTCCCAGCTGATGCTCATGATGCTGGTTTCGGTGTGGGGGCCGCATTGTCCGGACAAACCCCGGGGTCCAGCTGATGCTCATGATATTGGTTTCGGTGTGGGGGCCGCATTGTCCGGACAAGGCCCGGCGGCCGGGGTCCAGCTGATGCTCATGATGTTGGTTTCGGTGTGGCGGCCGCCTTGTCCGGACAACGCCCGGAGTCCAGCTGATGCTCATGATGTTGGTTTCGGTGTGGGGGCCGCGTTGTCCGGACAACGCCCGGGGTCCAGCTGATGCTCATGATGTTGCTTTCGGTGTGGGGGCCGCATTGTCCGGACAACGCCCGGGGTCCAGCTGATGCTCACGATGCTGTGTCCGGGCGCACGCGGCTGTCCGGACAGGCTTGCTGCACCGGAGGGGTGTCGGACAGCTGTCTGGACAGCCCGTCTTGCTGCAACCCACCCAACTTTTGAAATCTTTTGAAACCGGTGTCTGAACAATTGAGGAATTATACTGTTTCCAAGGATAAGCAGATAATTTTTGAACTTCGCCCAACTTGAAAACATTTCTTTGCTCCAATCCTTTCCGTCCCTCTCAGCTCTCAGCCCCCCCCCTCCCCTCCTCCTTCCACTCCCATCCTTCCCTCCTCCTCCTCCTCCTCCTCCTCACCGTGTCGTAAGGGGCAGGTGGGGTACACGAAGAAAAAAAACGATTTCTATACACGTGCATACCTCTTCTACTTAAACTGGAGGAGATTAGATTGGATGATATTGTGTGTGTATATATATATATATGTAATGTGTTTGTGCTCTTCTTCATGCAGCTGTGTGCTACTGGGTGGGTGTGTGTGGCTGGGTCTTTGAGGTAACTCGGGCAGGATGGGGGTGGGGTGGGAGTGGGTGAGCGGGTGAGTGGGTGAATGGCCGACTGAGAGGGATGGGTGAATGGTAGGATGGTGGATTTGTGGGTGGATGCATGGACGCATGGATGCATATGTATATGTATAAGTATATGTATAAGTATATGTATATGTATATGTATATGTATATTGATAAATATATATATATATACATATACATATATATGTATATATGTGCTATCACCAACCTCTACTAATGCCTAGGCCTAGTCAGCCTGGCAGGCTTTCCTGGGTGGGGCGCGTTATCGCAACGCAGTCTCCACCCATTTGCTAACACTATAACCTCTACGGGGCGCGTTATCGCAACGCAGTCCCCACCCTTTCATTTTTTTTTAGCGTGCGCTATCGCAGCGCATCGCTGGCAGTGAAGTTCGCGATGACGGCGTCCCCGTGCTTGCCTGCAGGGCCCTGAAAGATGCGAGGTTAAGGTTCAGGGCTACTCTGAATGTAAGGTTTAGGGTTGTGGGTTCAAGGGCCATAAGGACGCGAGGTTGCTGGGGTCTAGGGTGTGCAAGGTTCAGAGTTTAGGGTTTGTTCACGTATAGTGTTTAGGGTCAAAGAGCATTCAGGTCTAAGATTTTACGTTTGGGGGGTTAAGGTCGGGATCCCGACAACTAAACTTTAAAACCCAAGCCTCAACTCCAAACGCTCGAAATCCCTGCAACAAACAGATCCAAGAGATGATTACAGCCCTTCTTAGACCCTACAAAACCAACTCTCTAGGACCCTTCAGACAAATTCATGTGATATCACAGTATGATATGATATAACATGATATAATAAGATGCAACATATGTATCCTCTACGACGGATGCATGCATGCACGTATGCACACCCGTGAATCCCAAAAGTCAGAGTTATAACTTATACTGCTAGAGGCTTCGCGCTCTTGCTGACATGCATCATGTGTGAGCAAAGATGCAGACGCAGCTCGAGAACGCAGGTTGCATTGTGTCACAGCTTTGTTTCTCGGAAACAGTCTCTCGGATGGAAGCAGTCTAAGTTCACAGATGTCATAAGTTTTCGCAAAAAAAGACAAAACCTCCGAGACTCCGATTCTAGTTAATAGTCACAGGCGCAGAGACAAAAACATTCCAGTGGATTTCGAGAAAAAAAAAGAGTGCTCACAGATTTCTCGCAAAACATCAAATCGAAAATGTCACTGTTTAAAACCCATCCGGTACACACCTCCATGTTTCGAAACAAATTAGATGTATTTCGTTTTCCGAGTGTTTGCTAGCAATCCCTACCACAACAATGCACGGGGGAACGCTTCATTCTTTCATTCCCGGCTAACCAAAGGCAAGTCGAAGGCATTTGAATGCTCAAATGCTCTCAGTTGCCTTGGAATGCTCTAAAAGGGCTCGTTAGGTCACCGAAAAGGAGAGAGGGGTAGGGAGGGAGGGAGGGACCTCAGCAAGTGTTGTGGCATACTGCACGGTGGTTTTGTTCCGCGGCTCCTTGATACATGGTTTTTGCACCACATGCCTGCTTTCTTCTAGCCAGATTACTTCTGCCAGCTTTGCTGTCGTGGCCGCAGGTAGACACCGACAAACTCGAGCATTCAGTAAGCGCTCGCAATGGAAGCCTTACAAACGGCGAGTGATTGATTCCGGTGTGATTGTGTTAACCTGCGAGGAGTTTCCCTGCTCATATGCTTTTGTTGATGTCTGTGCTTTGGGGGGTCTTTTTGAGGGCCTCCGTTAAAATCCGCTGTGAGAATTGCGCTGTTGTTTTGCAGCCTTGCTGACCTTGTGCCCGAGCTGCCCTTTTTCTTGGTCAAGCCGTGGCGCGGGGGTCGGTGGGGCGGCGCGGGCCGTCGGAGCGAGCGGCGTGCGGCCGGGACCTCGGAGTGCAGCCGTGGAGCTGTTGGAGTGTAGGTACGGCCGCGTGTGCGGGGCTTCGGGTTTTGCTTGAGGTTTCGTTATGTTGGCCTGAGGATGTCTGGCAGTGCCCGGTCTTGCTTTTACTTTAAGTCCTTCTTCAGCTCCCCTCTGCTTGCTTCGCCTCAGGTCTGGACCTCTTCATCCCGGTCGGGCACTCTTTGCCGAGGCTTCGGGGATTGTAGGTGGTTAGGGCTCCGAGGTAGCGAGGTCCGAGTGCGCAAGGTTTGGGTGTTCAGGGTTGTTTCGGTCTTGCGAGGTGGGTTGGTTTGCCGAGGCAGTCAGGTTTAGAGTGCAGCCGCCCAGGGTACCTGTTCGGGGTTTCGCGTTGTCTCGGGTGTGGTAGGCCCTGAACTCTTTTGGGTTGCTTAGGTCCTATACCCTAAATCCAATATCTAATGGCTTAACTCCAAAGCTCCACATCCGAAACCCGAACCCAGATCGTAAGGTCAAGACCTTAGCTCCAAAACTCCGAATCCAAAGCTCCAACTCTTGAAGTCAAGCGCTAGTTCTACTCCTGAGCTTCCAAACCGAAACTTTCAATCCGAAACTTTGCATCCCAGATGTTTAATGCCTAGTGCGAAACCTTGCAATTTGGCTCGGTAGATAACTCCATCGCTCTACAAGGCTTGGGCCAATTGAACAGGAAGGATTGATCGGAGTTGCCAGCCATTGATTTCGAACTTTTCATACACTTAAAGCTCCGCTCGATCTTTAGACCCTCAACTCGGAAACCCTTGCCATGGACCCTAGCCGCTCAGGTTCGGACCTCTTCATCTTGGTCGGGGACTCTGTCGAGGCTTCAGGGATTGCAGGTGGTCGGGGCTCCGAGGTTGCGAGGTCCGAGTGCGCAAGGCTTGGGCGTTCGGGTGTTTTCCGGTCTCGGCAGGTGGGTTGGGTTTTCCGAGGTCGTGAGGTGTGGTGTGCAGCTGCGTCGGGTTTTGCTGAGGGTTCGGGGTTTTGTCGGGCGTTTTAGGTCTCGGGCTCTCTTGGACGATCTAGGTCTCAAGCCCTAAATCCGATATCCTAGACTTATGTCTAAACTCCCGTATCTGAGAGCCCGCAGACTATCTTAATCTACGAACCATGAAGCCGTTGTTTTAACTCGACATTCTTGTTGCAAAACCCGAAATCCCTAACTCAAATCCTTCAGGCTTGCTTCTTCAGGTCTATCCATTTTCTTTCGAGCGGAGGTCTCAGTAAACTGTCCTCTAAAACTCTAGATACCCAAGCCTTGTTCGGAACTTTAGCCCAAGCCTCGAATACTCGAATCCTTCACACTGACCCTGAAGTCCGAACACTCCGACCTTTAACCCCGAATCATTGGATCCGAAGCTCCTTCCCGAATCCGAGGTCCAACGCTCTCAATCCAAAATTCCCAAGTGCAGAACCCTTGATCCCACATCCTATAACCCCACGTTGGAAATCCTTACCCTTAAGTTCTAGATTCGAAAACGCTCGGCCTTGAGCCTCAAGCCCCTAAGTGTAAAACCCTTAGTCCCAAATCTCAAAACTATTCCCGAGGCTCGGTCCTTTCGTCTCTGTTCCGCCGGGCACTCCCTCGCGAGGTTTCAGGGGTTCTAGGTGGGTTTGGGCTCTGAGGCAGCGAGGTCGGAGTGCGCAAGGCTTGGGTGTTCAGGGTTTTTCGGCTTTGGGAGGTGGCTTGGGGCTCAGAGGTAGTCAGGTTTTGAGTGAGTGCGCTTTGTTGGTTTTGTTTCGTGGCGAGGGGCTAAGCCGAGAACCCCACGGTGGTATGGCGAGGGGCTAAGCCACGAACCCCATTCCGGAAAGGAGTCGGGGGGTCGAGCGGGAGCACCACTCGCTAGTCCCGGACCCCTCGGCTCCTTTCAGTTTTGGTTTGAGCGAAATTTTTGTTATGCGAACCATGTTTTCATTTTTTTTAGGGCTGCGAAACGTTTTGGGCGAAACTTTCGAACCCTTTTGGGGAGAGGTATGGAGGGAGGTGAGAACGATAGAAGGGTGCCCTAAACCTTAAACCCTAAACCCTAACTCTCAAGAATGTGCGTGTTGCAGACCGAAACATATTGTACGATACGTTATGACCGGAATGTATTGATTGTTTTGCGAACCATGTTTTCGGTTTTCTTGGGGGGCTGCGAAACGTTTTGAGCGAAGCTTTGGAGCGAGACGTTTTGACCGTCCTGGGGCTGGGGCTGGCTTGGGCTCTAAATTGGAATTCTCCTTGCGGGGCTTTCCGTGCAACAGTGGTCCACCCTGAGTCCGGCTCGTCACGGTGGGCTCCTTTTCCCTTGCCCTGTTTGCCGGGCGAGTGGGGGTAGCATCATTTCCGGCCACCGGCAGTTCATTCCTTACCCGAGCACTGGGCTTGCCACCGAGGCCGGCTTTCCCGGCGGCCTTCGCATAGTCGATGTCCATGGCCTCCGCTTCGGCGTCGGTTTTCTTCTTTCGCTTACGGCCTTTGCCTTTGGGCTGGTCTTCTTCAGCAGGCCGCAATCGGACTGTCCTTGTCGGCGGCGATGCTGAGGGGAGGACCTGCGCAATGATGGCTGTCCAGTCCATCGCAGCCAACGCGGTGGCAAGGCCTTGCTGAATCATCGCCTGGATCTCATTCCTGGTCGCTGCATCCATGGGCCCTGGGTGCTGGGCTTCACCAACACGCACTCCCGTCCAAGGACAGTGGTCTCGTTGCAAGCGTGGGCCAGGATGACTGGCCTCGCCAATTCGTCTGCAACAACGGGGGGCAATGTTGAGCCCCATCACCCCCGGAAGCCAGCCACGCTAGCCCGCCCTGGCGACGCTTGTGTGGACGGCCTGGGTCGTTGCTCCGGCCCCGACGGGCCCTGCCCTTGTCGACAAGAAGGTACTCAGGACGGCCTGGGTCGTTGCCCCGGCCCCAAGGGTCAGCAGCCTCATGGCCGTGCAGCTTGCGTGGACGGCCTGGGTCGTTGCCCCGGCCCCGACGGGCCCTGCCCTTGTCGACAAGAAGGTACTCAGGACGGCCTGGGTCGTTGCCCCGGCCCCAAGGGTCAGCAGCCTCATGGCCGTCCAACTCGGAACCCTCGGCTAAGATGTGCTCCACCACGACCTGCAAGTCGTTGAAATCTTGGTTTGTCTCCGGCTCGTAGTCAAGCTCGGGCGCCGGCTCGAAAAGGTCAAGGCCCTGAACAAAGCCAGCTGCCTCCGCCCCCGCGGCCGCCGCTGCTTCTGTCAGTTCGCCGAGATCCGAGCCGAAGTCGTCCAAGTCAAAGCAGGCTGCATAGGCGAATTCAGGAAGGACTTCATTCGCCTCGGTCTGCTCTGCTTCGTTCTCGTGCAGGTTGTTGCGAATCGGCTTGAAGTGGTCGTAGATCTGGATCGCTCCAGTCGCTGCCTCGCCGGTGAACAACTCCGATGTGAAGCCCGGGATCGGCTCGAGGAGGTCGAGGTTCTGGCCGCCTCCAGCCGTCGTCGTCCCAGATGCTGTCACAGAAGCCAGTTTCAGTTTTCTGTCATCTTGTGTTGCTGCCTTGCACGGGTGTGCAATGGGCGCAAGAGTGTCCTTCGTCCCAGCTGCTTTGGCCCAAAATTGGCCATTCGCTTGCCAGCTATGGCTGGCCCAGGGGTGACCCAAACTTGGTCGTGCAGAAGCAAGACCGTGCTTGCCAAACATGATCGTGGCATAGATCTCTCTGAAGAAGCATCGAGATGAGTCATGCCCAGCCCGATCGGTAGAAGTGGCAGTCCAAGCACCAAGCATAGTTGCATCCCAAACTTGCCAAACTGGCGCTCTGGTATCAACCAGAGCGATGGTTCCACAAACTTAAAGTTTGTGATCTGCAGCAATAGAAACATAAGTATACCCTGGAGATCAAGGCGTAGGGTCTGAGGTTTGATCTCGTCTAAGGGTAACGAAAAAAACTTTCTAACTCTTATGTTTTGGGATTCTTTGGGTGGGTGGGTATTCTTCCAGGTTCTTACTAGCGAACTTGACTAGATACTGCTCGACCGAGCTGCTGAACCCTAAACCCTAAACCCTAAACCCTAAACCCTAAACCCTAAACTGAAGCGAGCTGCGGGCGCTGCGAATAGCAGCAGCGAGCGTGCCGAAGAGCGGTGAGGCTGGCTCCGTAGCTGGCGCGACAGGCGCAGCGAAGGAGCCCCAGCACCGGCTCAGGTGCTGGCGCATGCGACAAGCATGCTAGCCAATCAGATAATAATGACCCCAAACCTCCAACCTGCTCTCTGCCGGCTCCGCCCTGCCTGCCCTGCCTGCCCTGCCCTGCTCTCCCTGCCCTGACTGCCCTGCCCTCCTGCTCTCCCTGCCCTGCCCTGCTCTGCCCCGCTGCACTGCCCTGCCCCGCCCACTGTCTCTGCCCTGCTTGGCCTGATTTTGGGCCGCCGCCAGACCAAGCCACAAACCTTGAAAAAAAACCCTAAACCCGACAAAGGTCCTAGACTGGGTGGGCGGGTAGGGCGAGAGCGTTGAACCTAGGCGCACACCACAACACACGTCTCGCGTGGTGGTGTGCGCGGAGCATCGACGCACCCTAAACCCTATACCCCAAACCCTAAACCCTAAACCTGAAACCCTAAACTCAAAAGCTTAAGCCTGAATGCTCAGCTTCTGCCTTCTCACGTACAGGAGCGTAACACACCTGGACGGGAATGAAACAGAAGATTTTCTAGTCTTACTTAGAGGTAAATGGCAATTGTGAAGCTACAATTACAGCCATTTACAGGTAGACATCATGAGTGGATGCAAGTATTCCTTAATATATATATCTGTATACAATACGGTCAGGAATATACAAGAGATATTCTACCCTAAACCCCCCCTCGGGATCTGAAGGGTTTCACTGAACCCTTCAGGACCTGAAGGGTTGTCCTAAACCCTTCAGGATCTGAAGGGTTTCCCTGAACCCTTAGACGGATGCTAGTTGCACACGCTGGTTTTCAGTTGCCAAGGCAAAGACAAGGATGCTAGTTGCACACGCTGGATTCCTTTTGCCAAACCAAAAAGAAGGATGCTAGTTGAACACCCTAGTTTCTATCTGGCAAGGCAGAAACAGGGATGCTAGTTGCACACGCTGGTTTCAGTGTGCCAAGGCAAAAACAAGGATGCTAGTTGGACACGCTGGTTTCCACCTGCCAAAGCAAAAACAAGGATGCTAGTTACACATGCTGGTTTCCGTTTGCGGGCGGTTCTTTGCAGACAAGAGCAAAACGCACATAGACGTCACCGATGTGCGTTTTGGATTTGGCCAGAACTCTAAATCCTACACCCTAAACCCTAACTCTCAACAATGTGCATGTTGCAGCTGCATGCAGGATCTAAAACTCATGCCTCGAAGGCACAGGTGCAAGTAGCAGATCTGGGGCTGGGGCAGGGGTCGGGCTGGGACTAATAATCTTATTGAAAAAGAATTTCCTGGACAGGTAGAGCTTCTTTTTCAAAATAGCTTGACAAGAACTGGCTTGACAAGATTGTTTTCAATTTCACAGCTACCGAACCCTAAACCCTAAACGATAAACCCCAATGCGGTCACGCCAACCTTACGATAGCAACCACAGCTATCGAATTCGATCTCATGTCTTTCAATGTTTCCACATCGTGCTGGGTCCATCGAAAGTCCGGGATAGGAGGGTGGCCAAAGCGAAAACTGAGACGTGGAGGCAGCGCATTGAGCAACTAACCAACAACGATCTCAAGCCAATGAAGTGGCTGTGGCACACTGGCAAGCACACCTTCGACCGTGGATCTTGAAGCAGCAAGCCGCTGAGGCTGCCGTCACGCCATCGCTTTGCGATAGCAACCACAGCTGTCAAGTTTCTTTGCGATGACCGTTCAGCCGAAACCCTTCACCGCCAGGCCTCCAAAGACCTTTTCGCGCGCGCGCGCGCGCGTTGTCGGGGGGTCAGAGGCCGAAGCCGGCTCCGGGGCTCCAGGGGGTCAGAGGAAGCCGGGCTTCGGCCTCGGGCTGCTCCAGGCCGCTGCTTACATGTCGCCAGACTCGTCTGCGGCATCTCGCAAAACGCTTTTTTTTTTAAAATTGCAAGAATTTTCGAAGGCTTCCACGATGACTGCTTTCGACAACAAAGAAACTTGTTGTGCTACACATCATGACATGTGTACAACATCGATCCATATCACTTCTTAACCGACGTCAACTAAAGAACTCTACATCATTTGAAGTTCTTCGACGGCTTACATACGTTCCGAAACGAAGTCACAGCCATCCAAGCAACAACCACGCAGAATCAAAACGACGCCCTTCGCAGAATCACGGCGACACCCTTCAGCGGAGCACTGTGTCACACCCCGCGGGCCCTCGACCGGACGAGCCTAAGTCATTTGAGCTCCTCTGTCTGTTTGCGCCCTTCCCGAAGATACCCTTTCAAACCAAAAATTTGGTGTTTGAAAGGGCCCGCGGGGCCAACGCAGAATCAACCCTACAACAGTTCACGCGGACCCTGCAATCAAAAGGGTAAGTTCGGGAGTGGGTTTGCGGACATAGTTTGACCTCCCCTGTCCATCTATGGCCCTCCCGCGGCTCCCCTTGAACACCAGTTTCCGAATGAAGGGTAGCAGAGTGATTCTGCATTCTGCTACCCTTCATGCGGAAACTGGTGTTCAAGGGGAGCCGCGGGAGGGCCATAGATGGACAGGGGAGGTCAAACTATGTCCGCAAACCCGCTCCCGAACTTACCCTTTTGATTGCAGGGTCCGCGTGAACTGTTGTAGGGTTGATTCTGCGTTGGCCCCGCGGGCCCTTTCAAACACCAAATTTTTGGTTTGAAAGGGTATCTTCGGGAAGGGCGCAAACAGACAGAGGAGCTCAAATGACGTAGGCTCGTCCGGTCGAGGACCCGCGGGGTGTGACGCAGTGCTCCGCTGAAGGGTGTCGCCGTGATTCTGCGAAGGGCGTCGTTTTGATTCTGCGTGGTTGTTGCTTGGATGGCTGTGACTTCGTTTCGGAACGTATGTAAGCCGTCGAAGAACTTCAAATGATGTAGAGTTCTTTAGTTGACGTCGGTTAAGAAGTGATATGGATCGATGTTGTACACATGTCATGATGTGTAGCACAACAAGTTTCTTTGTTGTCGAAAGCAGTCATCGTGGAAGCCTTCGAAATTCTTGCAATTTTCAAAAAAAAAGCGTTTTGCGAGATGCCGCAGACGAGCCTGGCGACATGTAAGCAGCGGCCTGGAGCAGCCCGAGGCCGAAGCCCGGCTTCCTCTGACCCCCTGGAGCCCCGGAGCCGGCTTCGGCCTCTGACCCCCCGACAACGCGCGCGCGCGCGCGCGCGCGAAAAGGTCTTTGGAGGCCTGGCGGTGAAGGGTTTCGGCTGAACGGTCATCGCAAAGAAACTTGACAGCTGTGGTTGCTATCGCAAAGCGATGGCGTGACGGCAGCCTCAGCGGCTTGCTGCTTCAAGATCCACGGTCGAAGGTGTGCTTGCCAGTGTGCCACAGCCACTGCGGGGGAACATACATGTGTGTGTGGGGGAGCACACATGTGTGTGTGGGAGAACACACATGTGTGTGCGGGGGAACACACATGTGTATGCGGGGGAACACACCTGTGTGTGTGGGGGAACACACATGTGTGTGCGGGGGAACACACATCTGTGTGCGGGGGAACATACATGTGTGTGCGGGTGATCACACATGTGTGTGCGGGGGAACACACATGTGTATGCGGGGGAACACACCTGTGTGTGTGGGGGAACACACATGTGTATGCGGGGGAACACACATCTGTGTGCGGGGGAACATACATGTGTGTGTGGGAGAACACACATGTGTGTGTGGGGGAACACACATGTGTATGCGGGGGAACACCCCTGTGTGTGTGGGGGAATACACATGTGTATGCGGGGGAACAGACATCTGTGTGCGTGTATTCTGACCGTTTGGAAGTTGCATCGCGTTCCCCCACCTGCATGCGACGAGCAGAATGTTGAGGCCTGTCAGTCTACACACACCCTGTCTATGCCGTCGAGGCAGGCTTCACGGCAGGATACAGCAGATGTCGACGAGCTACAGCTCCTGTTGCGGGCAGCATGTATGCTTGGATCTTGGGAAGGAGCGCATTGTGTTAAAAGCTTCGTCCTCTGTTGAAGTTGGATGCCGGTACTGAGAGGGTACCTTTGATGCCGGCACTGAGAGAGTGCTTTTGATGGCGGCAGGCCGGCACTGAGAGAGTGCTTGTTTAAATGCCGACACTGAGAGATGATTTCTGCTGTGGACCTCTCGCACTCAGGCATGCTCTTCCTCTGCAGTCGGACAGGGCCACTAAGATTCCACCACACGGGTGTGATCGACAAAAACTGGCGTTGGCCAGGTGTTGGCAAATGCTGAGCTCCGGGGCACGGGCCGGTTCAGCTGGTCAAAGATGCCTGCACTGGAACACACTGACAGTAAGGAGTCGCGCTTGACGACACTTCATCACTTCATCATGACCTACTCTTCTTTTTATGCTGCGTGGCACTTGTGGGTCGTCCGATGTCGCATGAGCGCTTCGGTCTCTAGGCTTAGCCGTGGCACTTCGTCGACATACGGCTGATCGCCATTGTCGGGGTTGGTGCCCACTATGTACATACACGAGACGGTTAGCCCGTAATACTTTTCGAGAATGAACCTGTATACGTTCAATTGAAGGCGGTAATGCCAGAGGGTGCAGTCGGGCACGCCGCATAGCGGTCCTTGCATGAACTTTCCGAAAGCCTGGTCGCTTAGTCGTGCTCTCCGGGTACGTTTCCAGTCCACCATGATTTTGCTGCCGTCGGGTCGTTCTGCCACGTAGTCGATGCTGCCAGCGATGTCCTCGTCGTCTGCGTATACCTGCCATTCTGTGCGGTATGCGATGGTGTCTCGCTGGGACCGCAGGAACCGCGCTAGCAGGTCAACTTCGGCTGTTTGGCATGGAAGGGATCCGCCGTTGAGCAGGCATTCGAACTGCGCATGCATCCACGTGCCTTCCTTCGCCCCGTCGTCTCGAGCTTTGGCCCACTTCTCCCGAATCTCGGCCTCCGAAAGTCCCAGTCCTGTCATCATCTCTGCGATTGCCTTGTTCTTCGGAGCGCGTGTTCGTAGCTGGTGGGCGAGTTTGCAGATTTGAAGCTCATCCCGGTCTTTCCGCTGGAATTCCATCAGGAGCTGCTCTGCGTCTTTGAGACCCACCAGCTCGGCTCTCTGGCGCTCGGAGAGTGTTGATTTTAGATAGCCTGGGCGTGGCCAGTTGGTGCTCGTCTGCATGGAGTTGATCACATGGTCCTCGGAGAACTCGTTCTTGAACTCGTGTACCAGTTGCGTTACCGATCTCGTCACACGTTCTCCCTTCCAGAAGTAAGCATGATCCCCCGCCTCGAAGGTGATGTGCTTGTCTCGCGGATGACCGTTGAGGCGTTTTAGACCGTCGACCAAGAGAGTCTCCGAAGGATTGACGGGCAGCTGTGCAGGGCGACATGGGAAACAAGGCAGACTGTCTTGTTCCGTGATTCTTCTTGGTAGCACGCCAGAGAGTCCGAGCGATGACAGAGTCACTGGCTGTCGGGATTCGGAAGTTGTCTTCCACTCTGCGAAGTCACCCAGTTTTTGGCGTTTCGTTGACGAGGCCATGCCGGTGTTCGGGAGATGTTGCCCGGCACTGTCGCACGGAGTCAGGTAGTTCGGGTATGCAACTTGTGTGCGAGACCAAGATGCAATAGAATCTTGAGCCGTGGAGCTGTGGAAAGCGGTGAGTGCTTCCGTGCGAGCGATTACTTGACGTATATCTGCTTGGTCTTGCTCTGCTGGACTTCCGTCAGATCCATGAGTGTTTCCTGACTTCTGTCAACGATGGCCTCGCTGTTGATCGGCCGCCATCGGTGGCCGTGGACATCAGCCTGAAAAAGCAGGGGGTAGTTTGGCCGAGTCTGGTTAGGAAATCGTCGTGCTGGGTTGATGGCCTGTCTGCATGGTCATGTTGTTGGGGGGTTGTGATGCCGTGCTGGCCCGACGGTACCTGGGAAGCTTGCAGAGTTCGTTGCGGATAAGTGCAGGGATTCTTCGGCTCGAACCACGTGCTGCTGGGCTAGCCGGTTTCTTCTGTGTAGCGGCACTGAAGGTCGCCGCCGGACCGACTTACCATGAGCGCTTCTTCGCAAAACTGGACCGAAAGACCGCTTTTCTCGCGAATTGCGATTGCCTCCTGTTCGAAATCGGACGGGCAATGGCTCGGAATCTGTCCGTAACTTAACTGAACGAGGTTGGAATATCGTCTGTACATGCTTGGGTACGCACTATACGAATGCCAAGCCGTCGCCCGGTATTTCGGTACTGGTTCCGACTGGGCTTATCGCTGTGCTCTCGGCATGCTGTGCTTGGCATTTGCCGTCCAGCTACTGAGATGCTACTCATAAGCATGATCTGTGCGTTCTCTTGGAGTTGGCTCGTGCTGAGTGAACGCAGGGCCGGCCGGGCAAAGGCTGCGTCTGAGCTGTTGGCGCTGCTGAAAGGATGGCAGGCGTCGACGTACATCTAGGGGGAGTCGTCCGTGCTGGTCTCGGTTCTGAGGATCGGCACCGGCTCTGATCAGCAACTTGACCCATGTGATGCTGCCCCTGCTTCCGGCCTGGTGCAGCAGGCAATTGTCGTCTGTGTACGGTTGCACCTGTGCCTTCGCACGTACGAGGCGTGTGGCTACTCGGACTGCATCGCTCTGGAAAGCCTCCTCGATGGGACCGCGCTGTTGGGGACCTTGTTGATTGACGTTCGCGTGGTTCTGCAAGAGGAGTCGTACCAATGGCAGCGAGTCTATTGACGCAGCGATGAGGAGAGGGGTGTCCCTCCACCAGGTGGGTCGGTTCACGTTTGCACCGGCTTGGATGAGGAAGCCGGCCATCTGTATGTTCCGAGTTTCGCAAGCTGCTACCAAAGGACTCGTGCCGAAGTGCTTGCCGTCGACGTCGGCATGGGCCTCGACGAGTGCTTCCGCGATGCAAGAACACCCAAAATTGGTGTACGCTGCCAGGCTCGGATGACGCTGTTGGGGTCCGCTAGGTCTTGCAGCAAGCTGTGGACTTCGTAGTACCTGACCATTTCTATCGCTGCAGATAGCTCGTGAACTCCTCCGTCTCGGTAGTGCCGGACAACCGCCATCAGTTCGTAGTCTCCCGTCGCAACCAGTTGTTTGCAGTCGGCCCAGGTCGTTGTCGGATTTAATGGTGCTTGTTCGTGCCCGTCGACAGGATGAATGCTGATTCGGGACGGAGGCACACCGAGATGGGAGCTTACGATGACTGCCAGGTCGTCGAAAATCTGGCCTTCGTCATTTCTGCGGTCTGCGGGATCGATGGTGCAGATCGCTCGACCGCTGGAGGCGCGAACGCATAGCATGGCCGGTTGTAAAAAGTTTGTCGCCTATATGCGGCTGCGCACAGGACGTCCGCAGAGTCTCTTGAGCGCAGGGACACGTTCATTGCATGAATGAGAACAGGATCGGGCATGCAACGCTTCATGCGTGGTTGCACCCGTCGGTGGAATATATGATGTACATGCACACCGTGTATTGGTTATATGTGCCAGGCAGCAACACATGTGCTCTTCCGAAGATCCACTTCAAACGCGACTGGGTGTCGTAGGCGGTTAGTTAATGGCAGCATCTAAGACGCACTGGCCTGGAGACGACTGTCGCGACGTTGCGCCTGTGTAGCCTGGGCGTGAGCGGTTGGAGCCTTGCCGTCGTGGATCTGGGGTCACGGCTGTTCGAGCTTGGGATGGACGCCGGCCTGGATGCGCGGTCCTGTCACTGGGCGTTTGAGAGTCCTTACAGCTGCATCCGATCCGAATACTTGCCATCAGGGCAAAGACACTGACACGCTCACTCGGGTCCGGGCTCTGTGACACCGAGGCACTGGACATCACCTGTGCAACTATCTTGCTGTTTCTTTGCGCACTATCACACGCCGTGTGTTGTGGCTTGCAAAACATAAAATGATTCGGCGGCTGAGCTTCCGAAGACCGTGATTGCTTTTTGGTCGGATTGGTGCAGGTATGTGATCGCAACTGACACGGGCATTGTCTCGGCAGCTGTGCCTGTGAGTTCTGCCGGACGACGCCGGCACGTCGTTTACGAGTGAATATATGTACATCGCCCGAGTCTAAACGAGCGCGACAGCATCCATCGAACTCTTCGACGGATGCTTTCCTGTACACGCGCGATGAAGGGTAACCACGCTGCAGTCTGCTGGCCGAGCTATCGAATGCTGGAAACCAGCCTCTGTACTGTCCAAGACACGACGCGGCATCTGCTTCTGTCCATCAGAGTTCCTCCACAGCATAGGTTGGGTGTGCGAGCATTGTCGCTTCGATTTCCTCCGCACTGAGGCGCTTTGGGTGTGCGTCTCGGCTAAGGGAGTCCAGGTACAGAAACGATTGGCCGGAGCGCCTCAAAGCAACCCAGTGTCTGCCTTGGTGGTTCTGCACTGCTCCCAGGCAGCCTTCCAGGTCCGCGACGCACATGGCACGCTGATGCCTCATGCCCCAGCACACGCGGCCGTACTGTGCCATGGCTGTCGATCTCAAGGCCGTCATCATCACTTCGATGGAGTAGTCTCCGTCTGCTGTTCTGTGCATGTCCAGATTGTCATTCAGATCGGGGTTCTCGAAAAGAAAGATTTCCGCCGCATGCTGCATGTCCTCTGCGCTACAGCATTGGAAGCCTAACACGTTGTTCAGGGCGTGCTGTCCGCAGCGAGCAGCTTGCTGTTTCTCGAAGAACACGCCCTCGACGACGTTCGGGCCGTCCTCGTTTCCTCTGGCTGCTCTGTCGGGTCGGGGCGTTGGCAGGTCATCTGATGCGCCTCTTTTCACGCCTCCTGCTCGCGCTGCTGAGCTGGTGCTGGCCGATGTGCTTGCGGTCGTTGTTGTTGCTTTGGCTGCTGCTTTGGCCTTCTTCTTGGCTCGGGGCTTGGCCTTTGCCTGGCCCGGCCTTGCAGCTTTCTTGGGGCAAACGCGCTTGTGTGCTGCTATGGCTGCTTTTGTGTTGGCCGTCTCCTCGCCGCATTGCGGACAGGTCCAGGGCTGCGGGTCGTCCTGCTCTCCCAGACCTTGGAGGTTCGGACGGGGCAACTTGGCAAGCTCCTCTATGTAGTGTGCCCTGCTGTGTGGAGGCTTTATGAGCTGCTGCCATAGCTCGGTGCCGGTTTGACCTGCTTGTTGTGCCTTCAGCCTCGTCAAGGCCCATGCTGCATGGACATTGTACCGCAGGCAGCTGGGGTTGAAGGCCTGTAGTGTGCAGTGTTGCCGGGTGGGGCAGCGAGACAGGGCAACGTAAGCTTGTCCCTGTTGGGTGACTGTACTGTCGAGTTTGCAATGTGCGCCCTGACGACACGTTGCTGCCTGGCTCTTGTGGATGGTGATCGCCTTGGCCAGCACCAGTGGAAATTGTCTCCGCTCTGCTTTGTTGTCGGTCTGGTCTTGGAAGGACGCCGTTCGTCGTGCTATGCCCACGGCCTCGGTCTCGTTGTCGCTGCACCAGCGTTCGCCTGCCTTTCCTTCGAAGTTTACCCAGATCTTCGTGACTTCGCCTGTGTCCTCTGCGTCGATGTGGGCCACGATGCCGCAAGCACCGTTCACGAGCTTGTCCGGGACGTCGATGTTGAAGCGGAGCATGACGCGAACGCCCACCGCTATCTTGAGCAGTCCTTCCAGTCCTCCGGTATTCTCTGGTTCGGCCCATGCGAGTTCCGGCTTCAACGGCGCACCTGTCTTCACGCTGACATCGATGGCCGGACACTCGTACAGCATCGTCTGGGTTCTCTCCAGATGCTCGTCCAAGTATCGCTGATTTGCTTCGTTAACGGCTTCGCGAGTAGCGAAGAGATAAACTGCTCCATCTGCGACTCGATCTTTGCCATCCCTCCTGATTCTGAGGCCTTTGAGGACCTCGACGTCGGCGTCGGTCCATTGGCCGATGCGAACGCGAGCTAGCAGCGCTGCCCATTCTGGATCTTCGGCGGCACGTTGATTGCCTTCCAACTCACAGAGCTCTAGAGAAGTCCAGAGCGAGCTGCAGAAGCAGGGATCGCCTCCCGGCGGTGGTAGCTGGTAGAGATCGCCTGCGAAGACGACGTGTATGCCTCCGAAAGGAATATCTGGTAGGTTCCTGGCCAAACGCAGATGTTGGTCGATGCGGTCCAGCATGAATCGGGATATGAAGCTGATCTCGTCCACCATCAAGACCGAAATATGCGCCCAGAATTCTTGCATGGCTGCCAAGTGGGGGCCCCTCGGCAATGGGGCATCGCACGCCCTGCCGTGGCTTCGATTCACCACCGGAAGGAATAGGCACTGGTGAAGCGTCAGCCCGTTGATGTTGCAGGCTGCCACGCCCGTGGGCGCAGCGATGGCGACGCCTTTGCCACTTTGGCGGAGCATGTGGGCAGCCGCGCGGACCACCACGGATTTGCCACAACCTCCAGGACCATGGAGAAGCAATCGCAGGCGCTTCGTGCTTGGGCCAGCTTTTGTGTTCGGATTGTCGAGCACCGTGCGGATGATGTACTCCATCGCTTGACGTTGTCGTTTTGTGTGCGATGTTGGATCTGGGGCGTTGAGCAAGTCGAAGGCCGCCTCGCCGCCCTCCACCGGCGCGAAAGCAGTGCCGGCGGAGCCGGTAGGTACGGTCTCCGGAGCCAAGTAGTCGATGTTGCCCCCGTGCCTCTGTCGGAGCGCCTCCATGATCTCGAGGGAGTCTCGGTAATTTTGCTCGTCTGCGCGGCTGTGCGACCACCCATCTCGAAGTTCGCTGGGTGATAGCCTTGCCTTCATATACATGGCCGCTTGGACGGCCTGCAGTTTCCGAGCTGCCTGGACCGTGCCATCCAGCTCCGGGAAACAGATGGATTGCAGGAAGGTAGGGTACGCTTGGGAATCGTTTGCTATTCGGTGGAAGGCGGCCGAATGCCGTCCCTGGTCCTGCGGATGCAGCCAGTCTCCGGGAGTTTCCCAGCGTAGGTGAAGCAGCAGCTTGGAATAGTAGAATTCTTCTGGCTGCAGATCGGGGCTGAAGTTGCGATATCCTACGATCGCTGGTCGATCTCGAGGCTTCGGGAATTCTTGCGCGATGAAGCGAAAACCAGCACAGAAATCGAAGAAAGTGATATCCCTCCAGCACCGCATAGTTGGACGGGGCGACCCTTCCACAGGAAGTGCGATCTCTTGATCTGCGAAAGATGTTTGCAGGTGTCGATAGTTCCGCTGAGCCACTGGCATTGTCCAGTCCAGTTCGCGTTTCTTCTCGTAGTACATCGTCGGATTTGCTAGGGCTGCTGCTTCCTCCTTCGGTGGTACCCACAGCGTCCATGTTTCGGGCGGTCCTGCTTGGATCCATACGCTGTCTCGGGAGAACTCCACGACTGGAAAGCTAAGCAGCAAGTGACAAGCTTCGAACGTGGAGGTAGTCCTGCCCTGTAGGGCCGCGTGTGCGGCCGCGTAGACCTCCTGCGTTTTCAGCCCGTCTTCTCCCGCGTTAGCGGCCAGTCTTTCGATCACTGCCTCCATGCGCCGTGTGGCGGTGAAGTCCTCTTCGGACTTGAACGCGTAGCCGAGGATGTAGCGGCTGGCGCTGGTCAGCTCACAAATAACCTGCAGATCCATGCTTGCTCTCCACCTGCGCAGCATCTTGATGTTGTATTGCCCCATCATGCGGTCTGCTTCCTCTCGTCGGACCGTTAAGCTGCTTTTCCAGCGGCTGGTAAACAGCTCCTGGGCGTCTCTTCTCCGAGCACACGGCTCTGGGGCGTGTGGGAAACCAAAACGACAGGCGCCCAGAGCATACTTGCCGCAGTAGGAGTTGCAGGTATGCACCACCATCTCTGCGAGTTTGGCATTGACAGCTCGTTCCCAGAGATGCGTTGTTGTGGAGTGATTCCAGCTGGCCGGTGATTTCGTGCATATGTACTTGTCACTCATCTGCTCCGCAGTCTCTGGCAGGAAGTGGCTGCATGCTTCCTCGTCGGACCAGCCTACGTTGTCTGGCTTCTCCGTTGCAGGCGCCTTCTCCGTCCGCCGTGGTTGCCACCAGAGTAGAATATGCGCGTGTGGGTATCCTCGCTTCTGCCATTCTATGCGAACGATGTACTCGGTGACGTGGAAGGGTGGCTGTTCTTTGCACAGGTTGTAATGTTGGCCGGCAGCATCAGCTGCTGGCGCAGCTGTGCTTATGTCGTCTTCGTCCTCAGCGGACTGTCGGTGGTCGTCCGGGTCCGCTTCGGCATCCACTTTGCTGTCTACGTCAATGTCTGGGGCTAACCATCGTAGGAATTGCCGCAGTTGGTGCATGAATTGGCGGGCTACCACTGCCGGATGCTGGTTGCAGAGCTGGTTGGCGGTGAAGCCGTTCCATGTAAAGTCCTCGTGCTGGTAGTTCCGGAGGATCTCTGCGGTCTGGCGTCGAAGCCTGGGGCAGTGCTTCGGCCCGGGTCATTTCTCTATGTTGGTACATTTGTTGGGCCGTGTGGGTGGTAGGCTTAGTCATCGAAGGCGTGCTAATTAATTGGGGAGCTGTACGGGTGTCCTGCCCTGGCTTCCATCGTTGCAGCGAGTGACTCGGCGGGCTCGAGATCGGGATTCATGCGGAGCAATCTCGCAGTGATGACGGCGGCCAGGATGCCCGGCTGGCGAGCGTGGCACGTGAGGGTGAGGAAAAACTGTGGTTGTCCGAGTTGCTCGTACATGTTGAGTGCGATGCCCTTCTTGGCGTAGATGTAGGGCTGCGTGCCGGGGATGTCGCGCAAGGCCGTGTAGACGCGTCGGCTCCCGTCTTGGTAGCCCTGGCAGCCCGCAGGCTTCTGTTGCGAGCCTACACGGACATTCACATTACCGGACAACCGCTTCTTCAGCTGTGTCTCCAGAAGCCACATGATGTAAGATGCGGATTGTTCGAAGCGACCATCTTGTCCCAGCAGTCGCTTTCGGGCATACTGCGAGAAGCTCTTGTACACGTCCTTCCAACCATTCGTTCCGTCTGGAAATAGATGTGGGAAGAACTTGACGTCGATGTCGTCGGCCAGTTGGGCGCTGCCTCTCGTCTGCCGTAACTCGTTCAGGTCAGCTCTGGGGACTTTCGGATCCTTCGGCACGAGGTAGGTGAACTGCTGTCCGTCATCCTCTTCTTTCGCCTGCTGCGACTCTTTATTATCTACGATACGCTCTGCGGTCACCTCTGACGACCTTTGTTGCAAGATCGACTCCATCTTGTCAATGACCTCCTGCACGGCGGGATTGTGTCGATACAGTATGTGCTGCGCCTGTAGTTCCTGGAGTGCGCTTCGCAAGTGCTCCAACCGGGCCGAAGACGCCGTGAGGCCGTCCACGCCCTGCACACTCACTGTGCCGTCTTCCTCCAAGACAGCGCCCTCCAGCACATCACAGATACACGGCTCCTGCATCAAGACGGCATACATTCTGCCCCATTGGCCACTGGGCCCTCCCGAAGGCAGCCTGTCCAGGACGACTTGGGATATGCGCGCCATCGCGAGAAGGTGATGCTCGATCGGCTTCAGGTCTCGCAGTGTTGCCGGAATTGCTGGCAAGGCTGGTAGGCGGATTTTGTTCTTGCTCTCGAGGCAGTTTCTGCAGGTCAGTGTGCGACCCGGGCCCGATGGTCGGCATTGTTTTGCCGGCGTTAAAGTTTTGCACGACTGGCACACTCGAGACAACCCGAAACGCGTCCATCCTCCCACAAAATCTTCGTACATCTTCTGTACGTCGGTCTCTGCCAGTTTGTCTTCGTTGGGGTACGGTGGTCCGTGCCCGCCTCTGTGTTCGGGTCGTCCTCCGACACCTTCTCCTGGCAGATGTCCTCGGGTGCCGCCTCCCACTTCGGCGCGCTGCCGCTGCAGTTCTGCTCGCTGTGCTCTGCGGTTGTTCTCTTCTTCGGGTCGCCCTCCGGCACCTGGCAGAGGTCCTCGGGTGCTGCCTCCCACTTCGGCGCGCTGCCACTGCAGTTCTGCTCGCTGTGCTCTGCAGCTGTTCTCTTCTTCGGGCCGTCCTCCGGCACCGTGTCCTGGCAGAGGTCCTCGGGTGCTGCCTCCCACTTCGGCGCGCTGCCACTGCAGTTCTGCTCGCTGTGCTCCGCGGTTGTTCTCTTCTTCGGGTCGCCCTCCGGCACCTGGCAGAGGTCCTCGGGTGCTGCCTCCCACTTCGGCGCGCTGCCACTGCAGTTCTGCTCGCTGTGCTCTGCAGCTGTTCTCTTCTTCGGGCCGTCCTCCGGCACCGTGTCCTGGCAGAGGTCCTCGGGTGCTGCCTCCCACTTCGGCGCGCTGCCACTGCAGTTCTGCTCGCTGTGCTCCGCGGTTGTTCTCTTCTTCGGGCCGTCCTCCGGCACGCGGTAATGGCCCACGGTGGCCGGCTTTGGCGGCAGCCCTCCTGGCGCGTGCTTCTTCTTTCTGCCTTTCTTTCTCCAGCTCCTCTGCTTGACGGCATTCGAACCTGGTGCAGAAGCCTGGCGCAGCAGCTCGATCGTATGCAACCAGGCAAGCAACTCTTTTGCGATATGGAGCGCCTGCCTCTTCCGCGGCCGACTCGCGGAAACCCGCAGCCAATGCAGGGTGCCATGTCCGGGCCGTGTTGGCAACGCTGGTTTACCCTCGGCGTGCTCCCGGCCGGTGCAGGTACATAGTAGCTGTCCAGCCTTAATTCGCTGCCGTGTGTGGTGCGTGTGCGTGTGTGCGTGCACGTGTATATTTCGAGTCATGGCTGATGAGCACGACGGGAGACAGGCGCAGCAACTCGAGACCGAATACATGGTTTGGGGTAGTTACCGTGAATCGTTTGGCCTCGTAGGTCTTGCGGACGAAAGCCTGACCAGGCCGAGTATCGGTTCTGGTGCTCCGGCTGGGCCGCGGGCCTTCTGACTTCATGCGGGCTGCGGATCAGGACCTGGCAGCCCATGGAGGTGGCGGACGAGCGCACACCGGTGGCGGGCCTTCCAGCCGCATTCGAGTCGAGGATAAACGCCTGACACTCCACGGAAGCTGAGGACAACAGAATCAATTGCTGCACGAGTCTTCCAGCCCCACTCAGGTCCAGGCAGGACGCAGCTGGACTGGTGGGGAGTTGTCTATGCTGGCCGCGACGGGCTACTCGAGAGTGTGGCATAGGCGGAGGGATCAGTGTCCGGTGTCGGATGCAGCCGAAGTGGCTGCGGGGAGATTGGTGAATGAGCATCATGGACAGCAGTTCCGTCGTCGCCCAGCTGTGTTGCTCGATGCATGTGCCAGTTTTTTGCATCGCTCTGTTCTGCATCGGGTGAGGCGGCAGTGCCCTGGACGACCGGCAACATGGTCTCAGACGTTCTCCAGAAGGATCCTGGCGATCTCACTGGCTGCCCAGAGGCGATTCCTATACCGCAGGGCTGCCACGGGACTGCACTCGTTGGGATATTCTGGGCCGCCCGGTACGGTGCGATACACCAAATCGATGTGCAGGCGCACGGCGCCGGGACCGCCTTCAGCCAGCAGAGCTGCCAATGTCAGGACATGGCGTGTCATGTCGTCCAGCGACGAGATGTTCCGCTTGGGCCAGAGCAGCTCGAAGAAGTTGTACTCGAAGGCTCTGCGCATCTGTTCTGCTGGGACGTTATCGCTGATGATCCGGTGCATGATAGCTTCCGTCGGCATCTCGGTTTCTATGGGATCAACATCCGGATCTTCGCAGAGGTCTGAGTAAGTTGCATTCTCCACATAGGCGTCGCACCAGGCCTGGAGCATGTGCACGGACAGGAACTCTTGCAGATATCGGAAAGAGCGTACGGCCTGTCGGGTGCACAGGACGGGGTATCGCACGGATTCATGGTTGTTCTTGGGGGCATCGCGCTCGATCGTGCCTGGCTTTCGTTGGGGTCCTCGTTCTCCTTGGAGCTGGCAAGAACGTCGCGCAACGACATGGCTGCTTTCCGCCTGTACTTGGGTCCGGTAACGGGAGGTCTTCTAGTATAATTCGAAGTGTCCGGTTCGAGCCCACAGCTGCCAGAAGAGTGTGCATGCTACGTGGCTGATGCTGGTGTGGTGCGGTGGTCGCTCGTTTTGCTCCTGCGAAGTCGGTGAAGCTGCTAGGCCCTATGGAATGCTGACGCCGCCAACTAGATGGTCTTTAGGATAATGTCTGCGATCTGACTGGCCGTCCAGAGACGGTCCCGGTACCGTAGTCGTCCTATAGCGGGGTCGGACCTCTCTGGATGGTCCGCACTACTGGCCCCGGTGCTGTACAGTAGGTTGATGTACAGGCACGCTTTGCGCTGGCCTCCTTCCGCCATCACGGTTTTGAAAATTGTCACGAGACGGGTCAGATCGGTGTGTGCTGCTAAGTCTCGTCTCGGCCACAGTAGTCGGTAGATGCAGTAGTCGAAGCCTTCCGGTGTCTTGTCCACTTCGGATATGCCGGACAGCACTTCACGCACGGTTTCCTCCGATGGGCACTGGTTCTGCTCCGGCGCGATCTCCGAGACGCTCGGAACGTCCGCATAGGTCCACTTGCTCACATTGGCGCTGCACCATGCTCGGAAGAGATGTGCACCTAGGAAATCTCGTACTTTCTGGCGGGCATCCGTTGCCTGGCAGACAGGCGTGCTGTTCCATGTAGACCTGGATAACGGGATGAAGCGTGTCCGAGCCTCGGTGTCTTCGGTGCTCTGCTCCGCTTCTCTGTGGTCTTTCCTGTACGACATGGCAGGTGCAGGCCTGCTGGACTATGCCAGGTCGCCGGTGGTGGTCGTCCTGGGTCCGGGCAGTTTATGCTAGAGATCTCTGTTTGGCTCGGGCCGATGTCGAATCCGAACTTGGCTCAGACGCTCCGTAGGGCTGTTCACTGCTTGAAGCATCGGGGTCTGTGCACTTTTTGCCTGCTTTCTCACGGCAGCCGTCGCTGCTCTGGTCTGTTAGCCGAGCTATACTCTAGGCGCGGTTCACTACGCTCGCCACGATCCGATCCCGTCCCAGACGTGCTCCAGGCGTTTCGCGTACGAGTACACGGGGAGTGGGGCGTCCGTGTGAAAATGCTCTCCGCACATGGCGTGCTGCAGCGCGTAGAAGTTGAACTGCATGCACTCCTTGCCGCCGCGCTGGTACAGGGTGCTGCCCGCATTGCGTTGGACCGTGAAGGCCTCGGCCGTTTGCAAGGCCGCCGCTTGCCAGAGCTCCCGGAAGGACGGGTAGTGGAACTGCGCCAAGTGCTCGGAGTTCCACCCCATGTCTTTCATCACCCATGCAAAGGTCAGCTCTCCGGGAACGATTCTCTCCGTGCCGCTCATGCTGCGAAGCCAGCGCCGAAGGCTTTTCTCGGATGGACAGGGGTGCTCTTGCACGAACCTGTGGAGAATCTTCTCCTCTCTGAGCACTTCACGTCGCACTAGTGGATTATTGCACTTGCGCCAGGGATCGGCCACCGCCCAGGGACCTGTCGTGATGGGCTGTCGCGGAGACTGCGGCGGGATGGGTTTCCCGAAGTCCTCCTCGTCGCTGCTGCTTTGAAGCAGGTCCCACTTGGAGTAGTCGATGCCCGACATGCAAGGCGACGGGATCCGAGTGGAGCCTGCGCGTGCTTTCTTGCTTGACGCTGAAGCGGCTGCGACATGCCCTGTACTCGAGAACAGACACAGATGGATAGAGTCGACTTCGGACTTGCTCCTGCAGTCATCATCTGGAACGCATAGTCTGTCTTCCTTTTTGTCTGTCGCGTGGAATGCTGTCGCACGGGGTCGCTTCGGACTCACTTCCCCTCCGGCAACTGTCTGTCTATGGGTCGAACCCGTCATTGACGACGTCTTGCATTTGAAGGACGGTGTTCAGACCTCTGTAAGTGAAAAAGACGACTACGTTTACTAGCGTGGGCCGGAATGTCCTTCGGAAGGCGGCAGGCCTGGCCGAGTAGAAGAAGTGACTGTCCGATTCTTCCAGCAGGTCGCTCAAAGCCGCGCCCGCGTCCCTTGTCTCTATCGGCCACGCGTTCATCACCAGCACCGCTTCGGCGGGTGAGAACCCTCCGAGCCCGAAGTCGTCCAACCAATAGAGCAGATCCTCGACGGGACCCAAGGTCTCCAGTGGGTCCGAGGGATCTGGCGGAGTCCAGCCCTTCGTGCATCTGATGCTCACGGGAAGATCGAAGCCGGGGAAACGCAGTCGCATGGTCCTCAAGGGTTCCAAGACCCTGCGTAGCCTGGCCACATCTGCCAGAACGGCTCGGGCCCACGCCAGTCTTCTCATGTTCGAGGACCTGCTGACTTGCAGCAGAAGGAGGACCTCCGCTGGCGTCAGCATCCGCCGTAGCAGCACACCGCACTCTGCTTCCAGAAAATACAGGAGAATGGCCATGGTGTGCGCTCCGGACTAGATGCTTCTGATGATCCTATGGCTGCAGCTGCTTCTGTATGATACTCAGCTGCAGGCTGCGACCACGATTCTTGTTTCTGCCAGCGCGGGCGGCGATGTTGAAGTCTCCTGGCTCTCCACTTTCCCCTGGTCCTATCTCACAGTCTACGAATCTGTACGGACAGCTGCCCTGTGACGGGTTCTGCCGTGGTCGGCTGGGATGTTATCAGTATGATGGGCGCTGCGTGTACTCGAATGTCGCACAGCGTCTGTTGCGCTGACGACGTCGCGGCTGGGCCCGGTATCGTCGGATTTCCGAAGCCGGTCGAGGTGTGTGGGTCTGCTGGCTCCGCTTCTACTCGCCATTCGTAGATAAACTCATACCAGAGTCGACAAGGGAAACGATGCCGGAGGCATCGGCGCTGCATGCTGGTTTGCCAGTCTTGCAGTGCCTCGGGCTCCCAGCGATGAGACAGGGCGCTTTGCACGAATTCAGCTAGCTCGAGATTCAGTCGCGTCTCGCCTGGGTACGGTCTCTTGTGCAAGATCGTGCTGGTGCCTGCAATCCGGCTTTAAGGACTGCACTGAGCGGCTGCCCGGTGTCGTAAGTCGTTTCTGCGGCATCCGTCGTGCCGTTGTATTCGGTGCCGTTATAACGGCCTTCCGACATCCATGCTAGCGGCGACTCTGTATCTGGGCGTGTCGTTCTCGGGGAGAGTAGGTCGCTGCTGCCTCGCATTCAGATATCGTAGCATTACACGGCGTGAGACTGTCCATTAGAAGCAAATACTGGCTTCGGTCCGATGAGGTGGCGACGGTACCCTCCTCGATTCTCGAAGTGGTCCTGCCTCGGCGGTGCGCCGGCCGCTGGGTCCTGCAGCGTCTGCAGGGCTTCCGTCTGTTGCTTGAGGTAAGCACACCCGTTCCGAGCATACCGCGCCCCCTCCTCGTCGGCGTTGTCGTGGTCCTGTCTGCAACGGCCCTGTATATCGCGCGAACGTGGCTGCGCGTTCGGGTCTGGGCTCCTGCACGTCTGCCCAGGCCTGCCTGCCCGAGAAAACCAGCATGGCTCGTTGGCAGCTGCTCGGGCACTGGGTGGCAGAACCAGACGACTCGTCGCAGCGATGCTATGTGACGCGGCAATCATGCTTCGTGCTTGCTTGCAGGATCTATGCGTGAGGGTCCTAGTGGCATGGCTATCTTTCTGCGCGGGCCGCATTGGTCTTTCCTGAAACAGGCTTCAATAGGTTCCCCCGTCATTCTGACGAGTCCTGTGCTGTGGGGCTGCTCTCACTCCTTGTTCCTGTCGTCATGCTCGTCCGTCCGGTCTCCTGCCCCGAGCGAAGGCTCTTCTTGGTCCGCCATACCGGATGTCAGCGGCAACGGGCTGGCTTCGGCTCGGAGCTCCGTCGGCATGTCTTCGCATGGCTTCGTGTCATGCGCTTGCTCCAAAGTTCTTTTCTGCGCCCCCGACCGACGCGCTTTGCCAGTTGGTCCGGTGCGAAACACCGCCCACGGTGATGTGGCTGGCAGCCGATAGTAGTCGATGCTTGGCTCGAGCTGCGTCACATCTTCCAGAGCCAGGGCGTACGTTTTCTTGTAATTGGGCATTTCACCCAAGTGCCTGTGCTGCGCTCTTGTGGCTTGGAAGTCTGTCTCCGTGATGATGCTGCAGTTGACGATGTTGGCTGCTCCGTGGATTTGGCCATTGCAGCCCAGCCAAGTTCTCCCCAACGCAGCCGGTGCACCGCGGATCTCCAGAGTCTTTAAACGGTTCATGACGAGCTGCAACCAAGCCTCCTTCATGACCATGATTCTGTCTCCCTCCTCAGGCACAGGACCTTCGCGTCGAGAGCACATAGCGCCGTTGCCTGGCACGTCGCGGGTCCTTTCTCCTTCTTCTCGTACCTTGCATCCGAGTTTTGGTGTGTTGGACCGCGCTTCTCTGATGCGAGCCCTGGTTCCTTGGCACTGTTTCGTCTGAATGTTTGCCTCCTGTCTACACAAGAATCAGGCCGACCTAACGTCTGCGGCGAGTCCTGACCGAGGGCGATCGATTATGTGTAGCCCGCTTACCCGCCTGGACCTCGCGCCCGTCGTCGGCCAGGCCCGATGGTGTGTCTCTTGGGCACGTGTCGGGAACGGTGGCTTCCGCCACCTCATCCTGGCGCCGAGGATTTGAGCTTGGTGTTAACAGGAAACCTTCGTCTAAGATCCCCGTCCTGGTCCACGACAGTCGGCAACGGGATCTCCTCCGCGCTGTGTGCTGCTCTCTTGAATGCGTCGGCGAGGCTGTTGGCGGCGCTCGGAGAGGGGGTCGAGCCGTTGGCGGTATGCATGCTGTCGGCACCACGGCAGTTGGGCTGGAGGGCTCAGGTCCTGTTACCTTGGCTCGAGGTGTCGGGATGCTGCGCGCACTGAGTGTTCCTTGGTCACGGCTTCACCCTGCATTCCCTTTCGGGCAACGTTATGGCTCACGCCACCATGTCTTCTTTTTGCTGTCGGTCGCGGACTGGTCTCTCTCCCGTCTGCCGAAGGGCGGGCTCTGTGCAGTGTGCCGCGCCGCACGTTGCAAGGAAGGTCTGTACAGGGAGCTTGAGCGAGGATCTTCAGGAGCTCGTTTCTCCGAGCTCCACCGAGGGCAGGCTGCCGATCCAGGACACCATCTCGTCGTCAGGGGTCTGGGTGGAGTCGATGAGGTACACGGGCACGTGGAGCAGGATCTGCTCGAAGACCGACTTCAATCTGTCTTTGCCTTGGTCGTCGTTGTGAACTTCCAGAAAGCGCACGTAGTCGCGATTGCCGTCCGGTTGTGTTATGTGTCCACCGGAGATGTTGGCCGCATCGAAGAGTTCGCGGTACGGGTAAATGCCTCCGAAAATGCTGACTGTGTAGATGGCCTCCGCGTTGTCGTCGGCTCCGGTGTCCATATTCGTTTCCTCTGCCTGTCCCGAATCTTGGCTGCTGGTGGTCTTGACCGCAGACTGACGAAGTTCGACCTGGCACAAAACGTGGCGGCGTCCTCTTGGAGGCAGCGCTGCGAAGGCTTTCGGGCCGTGCAGCGGATAGTGACTCGACTTCCAGGGATGAGGCACCGTGTCCACCGCGCCGTCTGGACTTGCGATGTGCAGGGGGGGCAGTTGCAGCAAGTGACCCTTAGTGACCTTGTGGTTCAGCACCAGTAGCACGAAGTCCAATGCAGCTGAGATCGAAGTTGAGTACAGAACGACTTGCCAAGCTTCCAGCCCTGTCCCGTCCGGGTCCAGTGGACCATTCTGGGGCGGCGCCCCGTTCAGGAGTCGCACCTGGAGGATCGACTCCAGTTGTTGCAGATCCCGGACGTTGGGATTGGGATGTTTCTGCACCGTTTCTCTGGCAACTGCCAGCACCTGATACCCGAAAGAATTCCGTCCGGTGTGACAGATCTGGAGCTGCCACAGGGGAGTGTCTCGATCCGCGCCTTCGAACACGGTGAAGGCGCTCCCCCACCTTCTTACTACTGCCGTCAGCTCGTTGCCTTCTGCGTCGCCGGTGCCGTTGCTCCGGGACGGCGTGATGTCGACCGCGGAGAAGCGCCTTTTCTTCTGCGCCTGCATGTCCTGAGAGAGAGCCATGGCTGTGTGGATCGCACGGGGCTTCGCGGCTGCGGCTGACTAGGGCTGGTTCTATCGCACAGCTGATGATTTTAGCACTGCGGTCGATTGCATGCAGATGATTTGACCTGCGTTTGTCATGCATGCATCCTCACAGCTCGTCCGACTGTGGATTCCCAGTCAACGCAACACGGTAGCGGCCGTGCACCAGCTTTTCTTCCAGCCGCTGTCATCGCACTGGTATGCGCTGCTTCAGATGGCTATGGCTCGTCGGACTCGAATTGTCTCACAGTAGTAGTCGTGAAACTGCAGGATGATGTCGTGACCCTTCTTTGGGTGCGTGCCGATGTAAGTGCCGTACTCACCTACTCTGCGCTTGGGTGTGTGGGGGGGTGAGAAGAGGGTGTCGAACTCGTCGCTCATGGACATGCACTGCTGGGGTGCAGCCAAGACTCCGTACAGATACAACTGGGTGTTTGTGTATCCCGGTCCCAGGATGTTGAATCGTGGCGTGATCTTGGTGAAGGAGCCGACGCGTTTGACATCCCAACCTCCATGGGCATTGGTGCTCGTGCCGTAGTGGGTCGTAAAGATACAGTAGGGCGATGCTCTCGCTTGCCTGTGCACCGGGTGTCATTGCTGTTTACTTCCTTCTATGTATTCGTACGTGGGTGTACAGGGATGTATACGCTACACTGGACTGTGAGTGGGGTCCGCTTCAGAGCTACGATGCTGTTGTGCGGCCCTGGAGCTGGTCGTCGCTGACCGCAATGAAGAGACAGAGTGTCAGCCGTTCCCCGTGGCGCGCAATCCTTCCACTTGGCCGGATGTGCTTGTACTCGTAGGTCCAGAACATCATTGCGACGGCAATCATCATATCGGGTCTACGTGAGCTAGCAGGGGCTTTTCTTGATCAGACGTCTCACGGGGGGTATCGTGGCGCTAGGACGATGATTGGATTGAGACAGCTGGATTGCATGCCGACATCGTCACTATCACTCCGATTATTCGGACCGTCGGTGAAGAGTGTTCGGTCGTGCGACTGCCGGTTCGCATCAGCTCCTGCTTTTCTGCGTTGCAGCTCGGTTGGAATTAGATCGTTGAACCAGCCGTTGCAGTCTGGGACCGCGCGCCGGTCTCCTGCAGAGGTGATTCTGATTCTGCTCCGTCAAACAGTTGCACTTGGGGTCGCGGATTGTCCTCCGACGATGGCGTTCGTGGCTCTTAAGTAATCTTCTTCTCCTGGTCACAGGTTTGCTGGTGCTAGGGGAGACTGAAGAGCAGCATGTTGTATTCAGATCAGGCACTGTTCGTGGACCGAGATATTGGGGACTGGAGGAGCGTGGCCGTTTCTTCCACGCTGGCGCCTGCGCCGCGCAGGCTTCCTCGTCTCCACTCTCGGCTGCTGCAGGCGGCAGACTGAAGGGCGAAGGCTCTCGAGCTCGTTGGCAGCGTTCCGTCAACGTCATGACATCCTCCTTGAGTCTCCATAGCGCAGGGACGAGCGTTGCTCCAAGTTCAGGCTCGAGGTGCGATGCCAGATACATGAGCCACTGTGAGTCCGTTTCATCGAGGTGCATGTGCCGCGAGAGCTGTCCGATGGCGTGCGTGATGTCCGCTGATAGCTCTGCCGACTCGAGTGGTTGTTGTATGCCGAAACGAACGGGAACTTTGCGAATCTCGTCCATGAAGCGGGCAATCATCTGCCGAATTAGGTCCGGCTCAAAATGTCCTGCCATGGCTGTTGTGGGAGAGCTACGTGCGGTGCTAGACCCTCGCATGCAGGCTTGCTCGGACGGGCGCTTGAACAGGTGATGAAGGTTTGCTCGCAGATTCGGTGGCACATCATACACGATACGTCCACAGTGAGCTGGTTTAGTTTTCTGCCCGCCACTTCCGTTGGAGAGAGGCCGGCTCGGCCTGTGCTGCACTTGTGTTGGCTGCACCTCGTAACTCTGACTCAGGTTGAAGATAGGCGCAGCGGGAACTCGTCCCTGTTCCTGCTTCCAGCTTTGTTCGACCCGATGCTGACTTGAAACCCCATATTGGTCGAAGCTAAACCCTCCTGCCTTGTCCCTGCCTTCGTCTGGTTCGGGTTGACACCACGCACCAGGGACCCCATATCGGTCGAGGATAATGCACCTGGGACCCCATATTGGTTGAGGATAAGCGCTCCTGCCTTGTCCCCGCCGCCGTCATCTTTAGGCTGAAACCAGGCACCTGGTGAGGATAAGCCGGTCTTCTTGGAGTGGAGACCACGCACCTGGGACCCCATATTGGTTGAGGATAAGCGCTCCCCGGCCTGGTCTCCGCTCCCATCCTTTCGAGTGGAGGCCACTCACCTGGGATTCCATATCAGCTGAGGCTAAGCGCTCCGGCCTGGTCCCGGCCTCCATCCTTTTCGAGCTGAGGCAGGTCTTCTTGGAGTCGAGACAGCGCAAGTGGGACCCCATATTGGTTCCATATTACTTGAGGATAAGCAGGTCCTGGGACCCCATATTGGTTGAGGATAAGCGTTCCCCGGCCTGGTCCCCGCTTTCATTCTCTCGAGCGAAGACCACGCACCTGGGACCCCATATTGGTTGAGGATAAGCGCTCCGGCCTCGTCCCCGCCTTCGCCTTCTTCGGCTTGAGACCACGCACCCGAAACCCCATCTTGGTTGAGGATAAGCGCTCCGGCCTCGTCCCCGCCTCCGCCGTCTTCTCAGCTTAAAACCATGCACCCGACACCCCATCTTGGTTGAGGATAAGCGCTCCGGCCTCGTCCCAGCCTCCGCCGTCTTCTGCTTAAGAACCTGAAGCCCCGTCTTGGTTGAGGATAAGTGCTGCGGCCTCGTCCCCGCCTCATGAGAGCCAGACCACACGGCCGGGACCAGGCACCTGAGACCCCATTTTGCTTGAGGAAGAGCTCCAGGGACCCCATATTGACTGAGGATAAGCCCGGCCTCCGTCTTGTTCCCGCCCTCCGTCCTCATGACAGCGAGACCACTCGCTTGGGTCCAGGCACCTGAGACCCCATACTGCTTCCCGGCCTCCGTCTTGTCAGCGGCCTCCGTCTTTATGAGAGCGAGACCACACGCCTGGGATCAGGCACCTGAGACCCCACATTGCTTCAGGATCGGCTTCCATCTTTCTGGGACCACGACCGGGGACTCCATATTGGTTGAGGATCACGCACCGGGGACCCCATATTACTTGAGGATAAGCAGGTCCTGGGACCCCATATTGGTTGAGGATAAGCGTTCCCCGGCCTGGTCCCCGCTTTCATTCTTTTCGAGCGAAGACCACGCACCTGGGACCCCATATTGGTTGAGGATAAGCGCTCCGGCCTCGTCCCCGCCTTCGCCTTCTTCGGCTTGAGACCACGCACCCGAAACCCCATCTTGGTTGAGGATAAGCGCTCCGGCCTCGTCCCCGCCTCCGCCGTCTTCTCAGCTTAAAACCATGCACCCGACACCCCATCTTGGTTGAGGATAAGCGCTCCGGCCTCGTCCCAGCCTCCGCCGTCTTCTGCTTAAGAACCTGAAGCCCCGTCTTGGTTGAGGATAAGTGCTGCGGCCTCGTCCCCGCCTCATGAGAGCCAGACCACACGGCCGGGACCAGGCACCTGAGACCCCATTTTGCTTGAGGAAGAGCTCCAGGGACCCCATATTGACTGAGGATAAGCCCGGCCTCCGTCTTGTTCCCGCCCTCCGTCCTCATGACAGCGAGACCACCCGCTTGGGTCCAGGCACCTGAGACCCCATACTGCTTCCCGGCCTCCGTCTTGTCAGCGGCCTCCGTCTTTATGAGAGCGAGACCACACGCCTGGGATCAGGCACCTGAGACCCCACATTGCTTCAGGATCGGCTTCCATCTTTCTGGGACCACGACCCGGGACTCCATATTGGTTGAGGATACGGCCGGCCTCCGTCGTCCTGAGAGCGAGACCACGCGCCATCGTGGGCGAGGATAGGCGCTCCGGCCTCGTCCCCGCTTCCGTCTTCTTCAAGTTGAGGGTACACACCTGGGACTCCATATTGGTTGAGGATAAACGCTTCGGCCTCGTCCCGGCCTCCGTCCTCTTGGAGTGGTGGTTGAGGATAAGCGTGGCGGCTGCGCCTCTTCCCCCTGGCCCCGATTCTGGTTGAGGATAAGCGTGGCGGCTCCGCCTCTTCTCCCTGGCCCCCATTCTGGTTAAGGATAAGCGTGGTGGCTGCGCCTCTTCCCCCTGGCCCCCATTATGGTTGAGGATAAGCGTGGCGGCTGCACCTCTTCGCCTGGCACCGGATAAGCGTGGCGGCTGTACCCGCTGGCCCCTCTTCTGGTTGAGTATAAGCGTCGCGGCTCCGCCTCTTCTCCCTGGCCCCCATTCTGGTTAAGGATAAGCGTGGTGGCTGCGCCTCTTCCCCCTGGCCCCCATTATGGTTGAGGATAAGCGTGGCGGCTGCACCTCTTCGCCTGGCACCGGATAAGCGTGGCGGCTGTACCCGCTGGCCCCTCTTCTGGTTGAGTATAAGCGTGGCGGCTGCGCCTCTTCCCCCTGGCCCCCATTGCGGCTGCGCCTCTTCCCCCTGGCCCCCATTTTGGTTGAGGATAAGCGTGGCGTTCTGGTTGAGGATAAGCGTGGCGGCTGCACCGGTTGAGGATAAGCGTGGCGGCTGCACCTCTTCGCCTGGCACCGGATAAGCGTGGCGGCTGTACCCCCCTGGCCCCTATTCTGGTTGAGGGTAAGCGTGGCGGCTGCGCTTCTTCCCCCTGGCCCCCATTCTGGTTGAGGATAAGCGTGGCGGCTGCACCTCTTCGCCTGGCACCCTTCAGGATCGGCTTCCATCTTTCTGGGACCACCACCGGGGACTCCATATTGGTTGAGGATCACGCACCGGGGACCCCATATTACTTGAGGATAAGCAGGTCCTGGGACCCCATATTGGTTGAGGATAAGCGTTCCCCGGCCTGGTCCCCGCTTTCATTCTTTTCGAGCGAAGACCACGCACCTGGGACCCCATATTGGTTGAGGATAAGCGCTCCGGCCTCGTCCCCGCCTTCGCCTTCTTCGGCTTGAGACCACGCACCCGAAACCCCATCTTGGTTGAGGATAAGCGCTCCGGCCTCGTCCCCGCCTCCGCCGTCTTCTCAGCTTAAAACCATGCACCCGACACCCCATCTTGGTTGAGGATAAGCGCTCCGGCCTCGTCCCAGCCTCCGCCGTCTTCTGCTTAAGAACCTGAAGCCCCGTCTTGGTTGAGGATAAGTGCTGCGGCCTCGTCCCCGCCTCATGAGAGCCAGACCACACGGCCGGGACCAGGCACCTGAGACCCCATTTTGCTTGAGGAAGAGCTCCAGGGACCCCATATTGACTGAGGATCGGCCTCCGTCTTGTTCCCGCCCTCCGTCCTCATGACAGCGAGACCACCCGCTTGGGTCCAGGCACCTGAGACCCCATACTGCTTCCCGGCCTCCGTCTTGTCAGCGGCCTCCGTCTTTATGAGAGCGAGACCACACGCCTGGGATCAGGCACCTGAGACCCCACATTGCTTCAGGATCGGCTTCCATCTTTCTGGGACCACGACCGGGGACTCCATATTGGTTGAGGATACGCCCGGCCTCCGTCGTCCTGAGAGCGAGACCACGCGCCATCGTGGGCGAGGATAGGCGCTCCGGCCTCGTCCCCGCTTCCGTCTTCTTCAAGTTGAGGGTACACACCTGGGACTCCATATTGGTTGAGGATAAACGCTTCGGCCTCGTCCCGGCCTCCGTCCTCTTGGAGTGGTGGTTGAGGATAAGCGTGGCGGCTGCGCCTCTTCCCCCTGGCCCCATTCTAGTTGAGGATAAGCGTGGCGGCTGCACCTCTTCGCCTGGCACCGGATACCCCCTAGCCCCTATTCTGGTTGAGGATAAGCGTGGCGGCTCCGCCTCTTCTCCCTGGCCCCCATTCTGGTTAAGGATAAGCGTGGTGGCTGCGCCTCTTCCCCCTGGCCCCCATTATGGTTGAGGATAAGCGTGGCGGCTGCACCTCTTCGCCTGGCACCGGATAAGCGTGGTGGCTGCGCCTCTTCCCCCTGGCCCCCATTATGGTTGAGGATAAGCGTGGCGGCTGCACCTCTTCGCCTGGCACCGGATAAGCGTGGCGGCTGTACCCGCTGGCCCCTCTTCTGGTTGAGTATAAGCGTCGCGGCTGCGCCTCTTCCCCCTGGCCCCCATTGCGGCTGCGCCTCTTCCCCCTGGCCCCCATTTTGGTTGAGGATAAGCGTGGCGTTCTGGTTGAGGATAAGCGTGGCGGCTGCACCGGTTGAGGATAAGCGTGGCGGCTGCACCTCTTCGCCTGGCACCGGATAAGCGTGGCGGCTGTACCCCCCTGGCCCCTATTCTGGTTGAGGGTAAGCGTGGCGGCTGCGCTTCTTCCCCCTGGCCCCCATTCTGGTTGAGGATAAGCGTGGCGGCTGCATCTTCGCCTGGCACCGGATAAGCGTGGCGGCTGTACCCCCTGGCCCCTATTCTGGTTGAGGATAAGCGTGGCGGCTGCGCCTCTTCCCCCTGGCCCCCATTCTGGTTGAGGATAAGCGTGGTGGCTGCACCTCTTCGCCTGGCACCGGATAAGCGTGGCGGCTGTACCCGCTGGCCCCTCTTCTGGTTGAGGATAAGCGTGGCGGCTGCGCCTCTTCCTCCTGGCTTCCGTTCTGGTTGAGGATAAGCGTGGCGGCTGCACTTCTTCGCCTGGCACCGGATAAGTGTGGCGGCTGTACTCCTGGCCCCTCTTTTGGTTGAGGATAAGCGTGGCAGCTACGCCTCTTCCCCCTGGCCCCCATTCTGGTTGAGGATAGCGTGGCGGCTGCACCGGTTGAGGATAAGCGTGGCGGCTGTACCCCCTGGCCCCTATTCTGGTTGAGGATAAGCGTGGCGGCTGCGCCTCTTCCCCCTGGCCCCCATTCTGGTTGAGGATAAGCGTGGAAGCTGCACCTCTTCGCCTGGCACCGGATAAGCGTGGCGGCTGTACCCCCTGGCCCCCCTCTTCGTCTGGCACCGGATAAGCGTGGCGGCTGTACCCCCTGGCCCCTATTCTAGTTAAGGATACACGTGGCGGCTGCGCCTCTTCCCCCTGGCCCCCATTCTGGTTGAGGATAAGCGTGGCGGCTGCACCTCTTCGCCTGGCACCGGATAAGCGTGGCGGCTGTACGCCCTGGCCCCTATTCTGGTTGAGGATAAGCGTGGCGGCTGCGCCTCTTCCCCCTGGCCCGCATTCTGGTTGAGGATAAGCGTGGCGGCTGCACCTCCTCGCCTGGAACCGGATAAGCGTGGCGGATGTACCCCCTGGCCCCTATTCTGGTTGAGGATAAGCGCGGCGGCTGCGCTTCTTCCCCCTGGAGCCCATTCTGGTTGAGGATAAGCGTGGCGGCTGCACCTCTTCGCCTGGCACCGGATAAGCGTGGCGGCTGTACCCCCTGGCCCCGAGGATAAGCGTGGCGGCTGCGCCTCTTCCCCCTGGCCCCCGTTCTGGTTGTGGATAATTAAGCGTGGCGGCTGCACCTCTTCGCCTGGCACCGGATAAGCGTGGCGGCTGTACCCCCTGGCCCCGAGGATAAGCGTGGCGGCTGCGCCTCTTCCTCCTGGCCCCCGTTCTGGTTGTGGATAATTAAGCGTGGCGGCTGCACGCCTGGCACCGGATAAGCGTGGCGGCTGTACCCCCTGGCCCCGAGGATAAGCGTGGCGGCTGCGCCTCTTCCCCCTGGCCTCCGTTCTGGTTGAGGATAAGCGTGGCGGCTGCACCTCTTCGCCTGGCACCGGATAAGCGTGGCGGCTGCGCCTCTTCCCCCTGGCCTCCGTTCTGGTTGAGGATAAGCGTGGCGGCTGCACCTCTTCGCCTGGCACCGGATAAGCGTGGCGGCTGTACCCCTGGCCCCTATTCTGGTTGAGGATAAGCGTGGCGGCTGCGCCTCTTCCCCCTGGCCCCCATTCTGGTTGAGGATAAGCGTGGCGGCTGCACCTCTTCGCCTGGCACCGGATAAGCGTGGCGGCTGTACCCCTGGCCCCTATTCTGGTTGAGGATAAGCGTGGCGGCTGCGCCTCTTCCCCCTGGCCTCCGGTCTGGTTGAGGATAAGCGTGGCGGCTGCACCTCTTCGCGTGGCACCGGATAAAGGTGGCGGCTGTAATCCCTGGCCCTGGCCCCTATTCTGGTTGAGGATAAGCGTGGCGGCTGCGCCTCCCCCTGGCCCCCATTCTGGTTGAGGATACCCCATATCGCTTGAGAATAAGCCCTAATTTTGTACCGGCCTCCATCTTTCTGGGAGCCGTGGACTAGCGGCCCCATATTGGTTGAGGATAAGCCTGGCCTCCGTCTTGTCCCGGCTTTCGTCTTCATAAGAGCGAGACCTAACTGGGCCTCGTGTGCCTCAATGATGGGTGAATGCGTTGTTGACTACATAGGCCGCTGTACTCGACTCAGCTTGAGGACAAGCGTGGCGGCTGCGCCTCCGGACCTCTATTAAAGTCAGGTTGAGCACTAGCGTGGCGGCTGCACCTCCCGACCCCTATTAAGATGGAGGATAAGCGTGGCGGTACGGTGGCAGGATTCCCTGTCTTCGTTGGAAGCTTCGAGTCTTTTGTCGTCGCGATGATGTCGACGAGTTCGGTATCTGACCTGTACAATGCTTGGCGACCAGGTGTATCGCGGCTGAACACGCAGGAGCTTCCGGAGATGGCTTCTCTGGCAGGCCGAGGAGCTAAAATACGAGCCTGCTAGCATGTGGGTGCTCGAATATACAGCACGCCTCGCAAGCCTCTGTACACAAAAAACACCACTGCACATGCCATCATACTCTTGATTCGGGATTCGGGCATTATTGGAGCGAACCCGGTCCTGTAGAAGAACTCGGCGTGTGCTTCGGTCAAGACATCGCTGAGGGCGGCTCCCACGTCCCTGGTGGTCTTGGGCCAGGCATTCATTACGAGCACTGCCTCACTGGGTGTGAAGCGACCTAGGCCGAAGTCCTCCATCCAATGTAGCAGGTGTTCGACCGTTCCCAGGGTCTGCAGGGGGTCGTCAGGACTTGGTGAGGTCCAGGTTTTGCTAGAATGGACGGTTACTGGAAAGTGGAAGCCGGGAAAGTGCAGTTGAGTGCTCCGCAGAGAAGCCATGATTGTCCGCAGCGCAGCCACGTCCGCCTGGAGTCGGAGTGCCCAGAAAAGGTTCCTCATCGGCAAGGATCTCTTTAACTGTAGCAGCAGCAGGAGCTCCTCTGCTGTCAGCATCTGCCGTATCGAGGTGCCCCAGTCTTCTTCTAGACAGTGTACGAGCGTAGTCACGTTCATTGCAAAGACGGCCTGTGCACCCGTTGAGCACTACGACATTCTCTGAGCACACTCGGCGGGGCAAGGCGAAAGATCAACACTGAAGTTTGGATGAGTCGGCATACTGTGCGAGCAAGGGTATATGCGCAAGTTGTGCTGTTCTCTGCTGCGACAGGCATTTCTTCATGAAAGGGCGAGACTCGCCGAGCGTCTGCGCTTGCGCTTGCTCGGGCTTTCCCGTATCTCTACAGGCATGCGAGCCATACGCAAGCAGTGCTCACGTCGTAGCCAGACCACCGCACCTCTCGCTGCCCACGTCGGCACCTGCTCGCATGCAGGTGCCGTGTGCTGGTGTGCGGTAAGACAGGCCTGAAACGGTGTTCCATGCCGCTGGACGTCCTGCAGGGTCCACGCATAGGTTTTGTCAGCATCGTAGTTGAGAGCCTGCACGCCCGGGCTTCAGGTTTTGATTGTGTGATGCAAGGCTGGGCGCCTGCAGGATATCCGCAAAAAGGACTTTCTCCCGGACCGTGAGTTGGTGCGACTCTTTGATGACGGCAGTGCCGCGAATAAACCTACTCCCTGTCTCCATCAGGCTGATCGTGTTCATCTCGAGGTAGGGCGGACATGGTTTCTTTCGGAGCTCGATCGTTTTCGTTCCTGCAGTAGGTCTCGCAATCTGGACTGGAGCCGGTGCGTTGAGTGTGTGGCTTCGAGGGCCCGCGCCTGTGAGTATCTGCTGCAGCCACGCAGGGCGAATCTTGAGCGCATACGTGGTCTTCCCGAAGGCCAGGTTGATTCGCTTCTCGTCGTCTGGAATGCCTGACACATGCACAACTCTGTTCTTCCGCGATCGTGCCCGAATGCTGTACATGTGGAGGCCAGCCTAGTCGGTCTGTTGCTGGCATCTCTGTACTGCCGGGTTCGTGCGCTAACTGCCGCCGGTACTTTGGCTGTGAGGACTCGGTAGCTGCGGAAGACGACATGAAGTGCAACTCTCCTTCGGTTCGCATGTGTCGGCCAGGTGCTGTAAGTGGCAAGGTTACAACTCCTATACTCGCGCTGCGGAAGTTGCGTAGCGGCGGCTCGATTTCATGCTGCACCCGTACAGTTGCTAGACCTGTCTCTCTTGGTGTGATACGCTTTGCCCGTGCTTGATTTACTCGATGACAGGCTCTGGAACGTATCGGTCGAGACACTTCCAATGGGCCGGTACCGGTACGCAGCGGCCATTGACTGGCCTTTGCCAGCACTTCCACTGCGCCGGCACCGGTAAGTACCGGCCGTTTGCTGGTTTCTGCCACACTCTCACTGTTGCCGGTGCCTGCACGCAAACTCGATTTGTACGCACAATGTTGGGCATGCACCGCACGCACCCCGCCTTAGCGGTGTTGGAATTCGTGGTGGGTGTGCAGCTGTGTCGTGCCTCGATGAGCGTACGTGCAGGGCTGGCAGTCGTCGGAGCAGCAAAATAACCGGGGCAACACGCCTTCTGTGTTGGCCGAGGTCTCGATTTGGCTTTGGCCGCTTTTAGAGCGCACAGTGCGAAGGCCTGGCGGTTGGCAGGCATGTATAATCCTTCCGTGTACATTAAGGTGGTTAGAGCCCGTGACAATTTCGCCTTCGGCGACATAGTCGGTTTCGGCACGGAGACCTGTGTCGTCCCACGTAAGTTCAGTCATGCTAGCGCGCTATCCTCTTTGCAGATCAGCCTTGACCAGCTGGACAGATTCAGCAGTACCCTTGCACCCCACTTCGCCTGGCGGACTATTCAGCAACTTGGCCTGCCTGGACTGATTTCCTATGTATTCTTCCTTTGAGGTGACACTTCCGCTGGCCTGGCATTGAGTATGGTGTCGCCCCAGCCGGCATGCCCATGTCCTTAGCGCGCTTGCCGTGACGAGTCGTGGTGTTCGCGTTGTGGGGGCTGAGCTTGGCGCGCAGGTAGAACGAGACTAGACAACAGCCCCTAACGCCGCAATATGGCTTTGCTGATTGAGCCGAAAGTAGCGTGCCCTCGTCACCTTTCATGTGTATGACTGTTGTGCGCTTCCGTATGGGCGCAAAGCAAAACTACTGCAGGTGCTAGCGTTGGCCCTTTCCTCCCGGCGGGTCCTCGGCTTCGTCCGGCGTGTTTGGCTACGGCGTGGCTCCATATTCGAGACCCGAGGTCAAGGGAATGTCGTGCCAGTCAACAGACACGCTTGTTGCTCGCACGTAGTCCCATCCGTTCTGATGCGCACCGAAGAAGACGCCGTCCGGCCCTGGAGGTTGGGGCATGCGTTTTGCGTGTCGTGCTTCCTATGCGACACTGGAAGAGCTGGCCTGCCACCAGTGCCAGCCAGATGTTGCGGCCGCGGGAGCCCCGACAGTTGAAGCCCACTTCGAGCACTCCGAAGCCAGCCACTTGCTTCAGCGCCCAGCCTCCGTGTACATCGGACGTCTGCTGTGCGGGCGTCGAGAAGACAACACGCCTGCGCATATTCAGCTGTTTGTCGCACCTTCTATCATCTGATTCGAGCCTGCAGGAGGTCAAAGGCCCGATGATCGCGTACAAATATAAGACTTCCTTCTTTCGGCATACACCTCAGTCTACGGTCGACTGGCGGGCAGACTAGTGTTCTTAGTGTGTACATCGGTGTGCAGGTTGCCCCGAGGCCGCGACGCCCTTCGGTGCCTGCCCGGCACGGAAGTGGGTAGGGGTTGTGTGCACTTGGCTTCCATACTACAAGCTCGCCTGATATGTGCTCGTAGGTGAGCGTCCATTTCAGGAAGCGGATGGTGACCATCGTGGAAAAGCAACAAGGGCGGTCGGAAGTTTGCAGGGGTGCTTCAGTTTGGAGACCTGTAAGCGCTGCGGACACAGGAGATCGAGCGCCGGGTTCACTGCGGACCATTAAATCTAGAGATGCTTTCCTAGATTGAGCTCCCACGCCTCGGTAACCCCATATTGATTGAGGATAAGCCCTCCCGGCCTTTCTTAGATTGAGCTCCCACGCCTCGGAACCCCATATTGATTGAGGATAAGCCCTCCCGGCCTTGTCCTTGCCTGCGTCTTCTTTGCTTGAGCTCCCACGCCTCGGAACCCCATATTGATTGAGGATAAGCCCTCCCGGCCTTGTCCTTGCCTGCGTCTTCTTCGCTTGAGCTCCCACGCCTCGGAACCCCATATTGGTTGAGGATAAGCCCTCCCGGCTTTGTCCTTGGCTCCGTCCTCGAAAGAATGAGAACCATCACTTGGGGCCACGCACCCGAGACCCCTTGTGGGTCGAGGAAGAGCCCTCCAGCCTCGTCCCGGACTGGAACCCTTCGTCCCCGCCTCCGCCATCTTCTCAGCTTCAGACCATGCACCTGAAACCCCATCTTGGTTGAGGATAGGCGCTCGGGCTTCGTCCCCGCCTCCGCCTTCCCTGAAACCCCATCTTGGTTGGGGATAAGCGCTCCGGCCTCGTCACTACAGGAGACTGAGGTCCTGTGGTGACGAGGCCGGAGCGCTCACTGCGGACCATTAAATCTAGAGATGCTTTCCTAGATTGAGCTCCCACGCCTCGGTAACCCCATATTGATTGAGGATAAGCCCTCCCGGCCTTGTCCTTCCCTGTGTCTTCTTCAGCTTGAGCTCCCACGCCTCGGAACCCCATATTGGTTGAGGATACGCCCTCCCGGCTTTGTCCTTGGCTCTGTCTTCGAAAGAATGAGAACCCTCACTTGGGGCCACGCACCCGAGACCCCATGTGGGTCGAGGATGAGCCCTCCAGCCTCGTCCCGGACTGGGACCCCATATTGGTTGAGGCCAGATAAGCGTGGCTGTACCCCCTCGCCCCTATTCTGGTTGAGTATAAGCGTGGCGGCTGCGCCTCTTCCCCCTGACCCCCATTCTGGTTGAGGATAAGCGTGGCGGCTGCACCTCTTCGCCTGGCACCGGATAAGCGTGGCGGCTGTACCCCCTGGCCCCTATTCTGGTTGAGGATAAGCGTGGCGGCTGCGCCTCTTAAGCGTGACGACTGTGCCTCCTGGCCCCCGTTCCGGTTGAGGATAAGCGTGGCGGCTGTGCCTCTTTGCTTCGCCCCGGGTAAGCGTGGCGGCTGTGCCTCCTGGCCCCCATTCTAGTCGAGGATAAGCGTGGCGGCTGCACCTCTTCGCCTGGCACCGAACTAGCGTGGCGGCTGTCGTCCCTGGCTTGCGTTCCTCAGGTTAAGACCACACACCTCGGAACCCAACATTGGTTAAGGATAAGCGCTCCGGCCTCGTCCCTGCCTCCGCTTTCCCTGAAACCCCATATTGGTTGAGGACAAGCACTCCGGCCTTGTCCGCGCCTCCGCCGTCTTCGCAGCTTAAAACCGTGCACCTGAAACCCCATCTTGGTTGAGGATAAGCGCTCCGGCCTCGTCCCCGATCTTTTGGAGCGGAAACCACGCACCCGGGACCTTGTATTGGTTGAGGACAAGTGTTCCGGCTGTGTCTCCGCTCCCATCCTTTTCGAGTAGAGACCATGAACCTGGCATTCCATATTAGTTGAGGATAAGCGCTCCGACCTCGTCCCCGCCCTGGTCTTTTCGAGTGGAGACCACGCACTTGGGATCCCGTATTGTGTGAGGATCCTCGTCCGCGCCTCCGCCGTCTTCTCAGCTTAAAACCGTGCACCTGAAACCCCATCTTGGTTGAGGATAAGCGCTCCGGCCTCGTCCCCGATCTTTTGGAGCGGAAACCACGCACGCGGGACCTTGTATTGGTTGAGGACAAGTGTTCCGGCTTTGTCTCCACTTCCATCCTTTTCGATCCCGTATTGTGTGAGGATCCTCGCCCGCGCCTCCGCCGTCTTCTCAGCGTAAAACCGTGCACCTGAAACCCCATCTTGGTTGAGGATAAGCGCTCCGGCCTCGTCCCCGATCTTTTGGAGCGGAAACCACGCACGCGGGACCTTGTATTGGTTGAGGACAAGTGTTCCGGCTTTGTCTCCGCTTCCATCCTTTTCGAGTAGAGACCATGAACCTGGCATTCTATATTAGTTGAGGATAAGCGCTCCGACCTCGTCCCCGCCCTGGTCTTTTCGAGTGGAGACCACGCACTTGGGATCCCGTATTGTGTGAGGATAAGCACTCCGGCCTTGTCCCCGCCTCGGTCCTCTTGGAGTGGAGACCACAGACCTGGGACCCCATATTAGTTGAGGATAAGCGCTCCGACCTTGTCCCGGCCTTCGTCCTTTTGGAGTGGAGACCACGCACCTGGAACCCCCATAGTATTGCTTGAGGTTAAGCGCCGGCCTCGTCCCTGCTCCGGTCCTCTTGGAGTGGAGACCACGCACCTGGAACCCCATATTGCTTGAGGATATGCGCTCTGATGTTGTCCCCACTTACGTCCTCTTGGAGTGAAGACCACGCACCTGGGACCCCATATGGGTTGAGGATAAGCGCTTCGGCCTTGTCCCCGCCTCAGTCTTCTTCGAGTGGAGACCACGCACCTGGGGCTCCATATAGTGGGCGAGGATAAGCGCTCCGGCCTCGTCCCCGCCTCCGCCTTCTTCAAGTTGGAAGTGCACACCTGGGACTCCATATTGGGTGCGGATAAGCGCTTCGGTCTCGTCCCGGCCTCTGTCCTCTTGGAGTGGAGGCTATACACCTGGGACATGGTGGGAAACAGTATAGCAGCACCCTAACACGCTGTACGAATTCAGTATAAGCCAACTGGCCGGGTTGGCGGACCTTCCAGCCTTCTCTCTTTGCCGGCCTTCCGTGCGTTCCACTAAGCGTGTACTATGTTACTATGGAGATAATGGGACTACAGCGGCTTGGAACCGAGTAAAGCTCGGATTTTCCGATCATTTCACTGTATTTCGATGAGTGAAACGACATACTTCAGCCGAGCCTTTTCCGGCGAATGGCTTCTACCACCATTGCCAGAGCCGCGGTTGTACGTTCGGACAGGCGCTTTGCTGCCGCATGCCTCCGCTCCCAGATCTCATCTTGTTTTCGTCTTCTGAGCCTTGCCTTTTGCTTTCGTTCGACAGTCTGCAAGTTGTTGAGGCATAGTCGGATATCTTTCTTGACGTATTTATTCAGCCCCGTGAACGCATCGGCGGGGAAGCATCGCAGGCGCCGTGCGAAGTCAAGATCGCTCGCCAGTTTCTTGGCGATCCTTGGGTATTTGACCAGGCATCCTAGTAGCGACAGGCATGGTAACTTCAGGGCCCAATCTGATTTCGAGGTGTACTCCTGGATCAGCCCCCTCAGGTACGCGGACAACCGCTGCCACTTCTGTGCACTTGTGCAGGTACAGGTGAGACAAGCCAGCAGAGTTGGCTTATCCATGAGGAGAAATTGACTGGAGACTGGGGTTTCAGCTTGAACCTTGCAGCTGCGCAGAACAGATGCATGGCCTGCTTTCAACTTGTGCCCCAGTTCGGGCAGGCATTCCACAGACATTCCAATGAGCCTGCTTGTACTTCATGGACTCTTCCCGGTGGAGACCACATACCTGGGACCCTATATTGGTTGAGGATGCTCGCCCCGGCCTTGTCCCCGCCTCAGTCCTCTTCGAGTGGAGACCACGCACCTGGGACCCCATATTGGTCGAGGATTATAAGTACTCCGGCCTCGTCCCCGCTTGGTCTTCTTCGAGTGGAGTCCCCGCTTCCATCCTTTTTCGAGTTGAGACCACGCACCTTGAACCCCACATTAGTTGAGGATAAGCGTGTGAGTCGAGGATGAGCCCTCCAGCCTAGTCCCGGACTGGGACCCCATATTGGTTGAGGCTAAGCCCTCCGTCCTCGTCCCTGGCTTGCGTTCCTCAGGTCAAGACCTCACACCTCGGACCTCACATTGGTTGAGGATAAGCGCTCCGGCCTCGTCCCCGCCTCCGCTTTCCCTGAAACCCCATATTGGTTGAGGACAAGCACTCCGGCCTCGTCCGTGCCTTCGCCGTCTACTCAGCTTAAAACCGTGCACCTGTAACCCCATCTTGGTTGAGGATAAGCGCTCCGGCCTCGTCCCCGCCTTCGCCTTCTCACGCACCCAAGACCCCATGTGGGTCGAGGATGAGCCCTCCAGCCTCGTCCCGGACTGGGACCCCATATTGGTTGAGGATAAACCCTCCGTCCTCGTCCCTGGCTTGCGTTCCTCAGGTTAAGACCGCACACCTCGGACCTCACATTGGTTGAGGATAAGCGCTCCGGCCTCGTCCCTGCCTCCACTTTCCCTGAAACCCCACATTGGTTGAGGACAAGCACTCCGGCCTTGTCCGTGCCTTCGCCGTCTACTCAGCTTAAAACCGTGCACCTGAAACCCCATCTTGGTTGAGGATAAGCGCTCCGGCCTCGTCCCCGCCTTCGCCGTCTTCTCAGCTTCAGACCACGCACCTGAAACCCCATCTTGGTTGAGGATAAGCGCTCCGGCCTCGTCCCCGCCTCCGCTTTCCCTGAAACCCCATATTGGTTGAGGACAAGCACTCCGGCCTCGTCCGTGCCTTCGCCGTCTACTCAGCTTAAAACCGTGCACCTGAAACCCCATCTTGGTTGAGGATAAGCGCTCCGGCCTCGTCCCTGCCTCCGCTTTCCCTGAAACCCCATATTGGTTGAGGACAAGCACTCCGGCCTCGTCCGTGCCTTCGCCGTCTTCTCAGCTTAAAACCGTGCACCTAAAACCCCATCTTGGTTGAGGATAAGCGCTCCGGCCTCGTCCCCGATCTTTTGGAGCGGAAACCACATATTGGTTGAGGACAAGCACTCCGGCCTCGTCCGTGCCTTCGCCGTCTTCTCAGCTTAAAACCGTGCACCTGAAACCCCATCTTGGTTGAGGATAAGCGCTCCGGCCTCGTCCCTGCCTCCGCTTTCCCTGAAACCCCATATTGGTTGAGGACAAGCACTCCGGCCTCGTCCGTGCCTTCGCCGTCTTCTCAGCTTAAAACCGTGCACCTAAAACCCCATCTTGGTTGAGGATAAGCGCTCCGACCTCGTCCCCGCCCTGGTCTTTTCGAGTGGAGACCACGCACTTGGGATCCCGTATTGTGTGAGGATAAGCGCTCCGACCTCGTCCCCGCCTCGGTCCTCTTGGAGTGGAGACCACAGACCTGGGGCCCCATATTAGTTGAGGATAAGCGCTCCGACCTTGTCCCGGCCTTCGTCCTTTTGGAGTGGAGACCACGCACCTGGAACCCCCATAGTATTGCTTGAGGTTAAGCGCCGGCCTCGTCCCTGCTCCGGTCCTCTTGGAGTGGAGACCACGCACCTGGAACCCCATATTGCTTGAGGATATGCGCTCTGATGTTGTCCCCACTTACGTCCTCTTGGAGTGAAGACCACGCACCTCGGACCCCATATGGGTTGAGGATAAGCGCTTCGGCCTTGTCCCCGCCTCAGTCTTCTTCGAGTGGAGACCACGCACCTGGGGCTCCATATAGTGGGCGAGGATAAGCGCTCCGGCCTCGTCCCCGCCTCCGCCTTCTTCAAGTTGGAAGTGCACACCTGGGACTCCATATTGGGTGCGGATAAGCGCTTCGGTCTCGTCCCGTCCTCTTGGAGTGGAGGCTATACACCTGGGACATGGTGGGAAACAGTATAGCAGCACCCTAACACGCTGTACGAATTCAGTATAAGCCAACTGGCCGGGTTGGCGGACCTTCCAGCCTTCTCTCTTTGCCGGCCTTCCGTGCGTTCCACTAAGCGTGTACTATGTTACTATGGAGATAATGGGACTACAGCGGCTTGGAACCGAGTAAAGCTCGGATTTTCCGATCATTTCGCTGTATTTCGATGAGTGAAACGACATACTTCAGCCGAGCCTTTTCCGGCGAATGGCTTCTACCACCATTGCCAGAGCCGCGGTTGTACGTTCGGACAGGCGCTTTGCTGCCGCATGCCTCCGCTCCCAGATCTCATCTTGTTTTCGTCTTCTGAGCCTTGCCTTTTGCTTTCGTTCGACAGTCTGCAAGTTGTTGAGGCATAGTCGGATATCTTTCTTGACGTATTTATTCAGCCCCGTGAACGCATCGGCGGGGAAGCATCGCAGGCGCCGTGCGAAGTCAAGATCGCTCGCCAGTTTCTTGGCGATCCTTGGGTATTTGACCAGGCATCCTAGTAGCGACAGGCATGGTAACTTCAGGGCCCAATCTGATTTCGAGGTGTACTCCTGGATCAGCCCCCTCAGGTACGCGGACAACCGCTGCCACTTCTGTGCACTTGTGCAGGTACAGGTGAGACAAGCCAGCAGAGTTGGCTTATCCATGAGGAGAAATTGACTGGAGACTGGGGTTTCAGCTTGAACCTTGCAGCTGCGCAGAACAGATGCATGGCCTGCTTTCAACTTGTGCCCCAGTTCGGGCAGGCATTCCACAGACATTCCAATGAGCCTGCTTGTACTTCATGGACTCTTCCCGGTGGAGACCACATACCTGGGACCCTATATTGGTTGAGGATGCTCGCCCCGGCCTTGTCCCCGCCTCAGTCCTCTTCGAGTGGAGACCACGCACCTGGGACCCCATATTGGTCGAGGATTATAAGTACTCCGGCCTCGTCCCCGCCTAGGTCTTCTTCGAGTGGAGTCCCCGCTTCCATCCTTCTTCGAGTTGAGACCACGCACCTTGAACCCCACATTAGTTGAGGATAAGCGTGTGAGTCGAGGATGAGCCCTCCAGCCTCGTCCCGGACTGGGACCCCATATTGGTTGAGGCTAAGCCCTCCGTCCTCGTCCCTGGCTTGCGTTCCTCAGGTCAAGACCTCACACCTCGGACCTCACATTGGTTGAGGATAAGCGCTCCGGCCTCGTCCCCGCCTCCGCTTTCCCTGAAACCCCATATTGGTTGAGGACAAGCACTCCGGCCTCGTCCGTGCCTTCGCCGTCTACTCAGCTTAAAACCGTGCACCTGAAACCCCATCTTGGTTGAGGATAAGCGCTCCGGCCTCGTCCCCGCCTTCGCCTTCTCACGCACCCAAGACCCCATGTGGGTCGAGGATGAGCCCTCCAGCCTCGTCCCGGACTGGGACCCCATATTGGTTGAGGCTAAGCCCTCCGTCCTCGTCCCTGGCTTGCGTTCCTCAGGTCAAGACCTCACACCTCGGACCTCACATTGGTTGAGGATAAGCGCTCCGGCCTCGTCCCCGCCTCCGCTTTCCCTGAAACCCCATATTGGTTGAGGACAAGCACTCCGGCCTCGTCCGTGCCTTCGCCGTCTACTCAGCTTAAAACCGTGCACCTGAAACCCCATCTTGGTTGAGGATAAGCGCTCCGGCCTCGTCCCCGCCTTCGCCTTCTCACGCACCCAAGACCCCATGTGGGTCGAGGATGAGCCCTCCAGCCTCGTCCCGGACTGGGACCCCATATTGGTTGAGGATAAACCCTCCGTCCTCGTCCCTGGCTTGCGTTCCTCAGGTTAAGACCGCACACCTCGGACCTCACATTGGTTGAGGATAAGCGCTCCGGCCTCGTCCCTGCCTCCACTTTCCCTGAAACCCCACATTGGTTGAGGATAAGCGCTCCGGCCTCGTCCCCGCCTTCGCCGTCTACTCAGCTTAAGACCACGCACCTGAAACCCCATCTTGGTTGAGGATAAGCGCTCCGGCCTCGTCCCCGCCTCCGTTTTCCCTGAAACCCCATATTGGTTGAGGACAAGCACTCCGGCCTCGTCCGTGCCTTCGCCGTCTACTCAGCTTAAAACCGTGCACCTGAAACCCCATCTTGGTTGAGGATAAGCGCTCCGGCCTCGTCCCTGCCTCCGCTTTCCCTGAAACCCCATATTGGTTGAGGACAAGCACTCCGGCCTCGTCCGTGCCTTCGCCGTCTTCTCAGCTTAAAACCGTGCACCTAAAACCCCATCTTGGTTGAGGATAAGCGCTCCGGCCTCGTCCCCGCCTTCGCCTTCCTCGGCTTGAGACCATGCACCCGAGACTTAAGCGTTCCGGCTTCGTCCCCGCCTGTGCCGTCTTCTCAGCTTCAGACCAAGCACCTGAAACCCCATCTTGGTTGAGGATAAGCGCTCTGGCTTCGTCCCCGCCTCCGCCTTCCCTGAAACCCCATATTGGTTGAGGACAAGTGCTCCGGCCTTGTCCCCGCCTCCGCCGTCTTCTCCGCTTAAAACCGTGTACCTGACAACCCATCTTGGTTGAGGATAAGCGCTCCGGCCTCGTCCCTACCTCCGCCGTCTTCTCAGCTTCAGACCAAGCACCTGAAACCCCATCTAGGTTGAGGATAAGCGCTTCGGCTTCGTCCCCGCCTCCGGCGTCTTCTCAGCTTCAGATCAAGCACCTGAAACCCCATCTTGGTTGAGGATAAGCGCTCCGGCTTCGTCTCGGCCTCCGGCGTCTTCTCAGCTTCAGATCAAGCACCTGAAACCCCATCTTGGTTGAGGATAAGCTCTTCGGCTTCGTCCCCGCCTCCGCCTTCTTCGGGTGGAGACCACGCACCTGGGAGCCCATATTGGTTGAGGACAAGGCTTCCCGGCTTCGTCCCTGCCTCCGCCTTCTTCGGGTTGAGACCACACACCTGAGAGCCCATGTTGGTTGAGGATAAGCGCTCCGGCCTCGTGGAGCCCATATTGGTTGAGGATAAGCGCTCCGGCCTCGTCCCCGCCTCGGCCGTTTTCTCAGCTTAAAACCATGCACCTGAAACCCCATCTTGGTTGAGGATAAGTGCTCCGGCCTCGTCCCGGCCTCCGCCGTCTTCTCGGCTTGAGACTACACACCTGACACCCCATCTTGGTTGAGGATAAGTGCTCCGGCCTCGTCCCCGCCTCCGCCGTCTCCTGCTTGAGAACCTGAAGCTCCATCTTGGTTGAGGATAAGTGCTCCGGCCTCGTCCTCGCCTCCGCCGTGTTCTGCTTGAGATCCCACGCCTCGGAACCCCTTATTGGTTGGGGTTACGCCCTCCCGGCCGTGTCCTTGCATCCATCTCGTTCAGCTTGAGCTCTCACTCCTTGCAACCTTATATTGGTTGAGGATAAGCCCTCCCGGCCTTGTCCTCGCCTCCGTCTTCTTCAGCCTGAGCTTCCAGATCTCGGAACCCCATATTGGTCGAGGATAAGCCCTCCCGGCCGTGTCCTTGCTTCTGTCTTCTTCAGGCAAGCCTCGCAATCCCATCGTGCTTGCAGATAATGTCACCGGACACTGACGTAAGACGATCTATGTATTCTCGCAACTCACCTTTCTTCCCGTGCTATTGCTGTGTCACGTGTGAAACAATGCTCTTCAGCTAGGTGTCGTACGGCGAATATGTTCTCTGATCATTATCAGAGCTTCAGCCGCGCGCTCGACCACAATCTTTGTTGCTTCACGCTTCCGTTTCAGGAGTTCCTCCTGCTTCTGCTTCCGGAGCTCTGTCTTCTCCTTCTGCCTCTTCTTCTTCTCGAAAGCCCGAAGGTTCATGATGCAGAGACGGATGGCCTTCTTGGTGTTTCTCGGAAGCCCTTGTAGATCTTGGACTGAAAGGCATTGGAGTCGCCGGCCAAAGTCGAAGTCGTCTGTGGCTCTCGAAGCCAGCATCGGGTATCTGGAGAGTGCACCAATCAGCGCTAAGTGCCTTAGCCTCAGTGCCCAATCCGAGCGTCTCGTGAAGTTTGAAATGGCCAGCTTCACGTTGTGGGGTAGACGTGTCCATTTCTTTGCCGCTGTCCAGCAAGTGCAGATTAAGGCACTGAAGAGTACCGCTGTATCCATCGCGTCGAGTTGTCGTGTACTACTGGTTTATACCGCACGCCTGAGCCCCAGTTGCAGCTGTGCCACAGGTTCGCTTGCCTCCCTTTCAAAGCCACCGGTCCATGATCCGACTAGTCTAGAACATGTGCGCATAGCTGACTGTGCGATCCCTTCATCACGACGACTTATGAAGTGTACGCCTGTCCAGGCCTTGTGATTGTGAATTTGAGGCCTCGCGCTTGGGAACATGCACCTGGGACCGCATATTCTTTGAGGATACGCCCTCCAGTCTCGTCCCGGCCTCGTTCTTCTTGAGGTTGAAGTCTCGTGCTTGGGAGCATGCACCTGGGACACCATATTGGTTGAGGACAAGCGCTCCGGCCTCGTCCCCGCCTCCGCCGTCTTCTCAGCTTAAAACCATGCACCCGACACCCCATCTTAGTTGAGGATAAGCGCTCCGGCCTCGTCCCTACCTCCGCCGTCTTCTCAGCTTCAGACCAAGCACCTGAAACCCCATCTTGGTTGAGGATAAGCGCTCCGGCCTCGTCCCCGCCTCCGCCGTCTTCTCAGCTTAAAACCACGCACCTGAGACCCCATATTGGTTGAGGACAAGTGCTCCGGCCTCGTCCCCGCCTTCGCCGTCTTCTCAGCTTCAGACCATGCACCTGACACCCCATCTTGGTTGAGGATAAGCGCTCCGGCCTCGTCCCCGCCTCCGCCGTCTTCGGCTTGAGACCACGCACCTGAGACACCATCTTGGTTGAGGATAAGCGCTCCGGCCTCGTCCCCGCCTCCGCCCTCCGGCCTCGTCCCCGCCTCCGCCGTCTTCTCAGCTTCAGACCAAGAACCTGAGACCCCATATTGGTTGAGGATAAGTGCTCCGGCCTCGTCCCCGCCTCCGCCGTCTTCTCAGCTTCAGACCACGCACCTGAAACCCCATCTTGGTTGAGGATAAGCGCTCCGGCCTCGTCCCTACCTCCGCCGTCTTCTCAGCTTCAGACCAAGCACCTGACACCCCATCTTGGTTGAGGATAAGCGCTCCGGCCTCGTCCCCGCCTTCGCCTTCTTCGGCTTGAGACCACGCACCTGAGACCCCATCTTGGTTGATGATAAGCGCTCCGGCCTCGTCCCCGCCTCCGCCGTCTTCTCAGCTTCAAACCACATGCACCTGACACCCCATCTTGGTTGATGATAAGCGCTCCGGCCTCGTCCCCGCCTCCGCCGTCTTCTCAGCTTCAGACCATGCACCTGACACCCCATCTTGGTTGAGGATAAGCGCTCCGGCCTCGTCCCCGCCTTCGCCTTCTTCGGCTTGAGACCACGCACCTGAGACCCCATCTTGGTTGATGATAAGCGCTCCGGCCTCGTCCCCGCCTCCGCCGTCTTCGGCTTGAGACCACGCACCTGAGACCCCATCTTGGTTGATGATAAGCGCCTCGTCCTCCGCCGTCTTTCCTCGCTTCAGACCAAGCACCTGAAACCCCATCTTGGTTGAGGATAAGCGCTCCGGCCTCGTCCCCGCCTTCGCCTTCTTCGGCTTCTGGGCTGCTGATCTCGAATCCCACAGTGGTTGAGGATAAACGTGCCGCCTCCAACGTTGTTCCCGCTGAGACTGAGCACCTGTATGCCCGACTGCGACATGATGGAGGAGCGCGGCCGCATGTGATGCACCAGGCCCTCCTTGCACCTTTTTGCCTCGCCTAGGTGAGTGAAGCTCGAGCCGTTCAGCGCATTGCGCAGTCTAAAACTACTCTGGTGACACTAAAACGTTCTCTCTCGCCGCGAGCCGCCGTCCACTCCACCAGATCGTTCTTGAAGAAGAAGATTGTATGAGCACGTCCCAGCCGTCGTCGAGGAGCTGGAATGCCGTCTTGGCGTCTGCTGGCAAACGCGAACAACGGTCCAGTGCAACCGGTTCCTGCCGGATGCAGCAGGCCCTCTTCCTCGCCGCCGTCCTCGTAGGTGAGGTAGAGTTCCATCGTGCCCTCATGCTGCTTGGCACTCCGTGCGCAGAGAAGCTTCATCGGTTCGTCGCGCCTCCAGACTCGGAAGTGGATTTCCGTATAGCCTGAGCGAAGGAACTCACGGGCGTCGAGGAGGGCTTGTCGAAGTAGGTTCACGTCGCTGTACTGGACGCGATCCTCTGGCAGCTCCACGTCGTCGCTGACGATGTATCGCCCTGAAGACTGCTCTGACAACATGGCGGGGTCCTGTTGGACACTGCCCAGGTCTCGGCGAGCCTTGTCGCTCTTGGGCAAATTCTCTTGGGCAACAGCTTCGCGTGTCGACACACATAGCTCTTTGCACAACCAGGCCCCTGAGACTGCGATTGGTTGGGGATAAACCCTCTGGCCTTGGCCCGAGTCTCGTTTCCTTCGGGTTGAGACCGCGCACCTGGGACTACGCACTTCTTCAGTTTGAGCTTCCGCACCTCGGAACCCCATATTGGTTGAGGATAAGCCCTCCCGGCCTCGTCCTTACCTCTGTCTTCTTCAGCTTGTGCTTCCACACCTCGGAAGCCCCATATTGGTTGAGGATAAGCCCTTCCACACCTCGGAACCCCATATTGGTTGAGGATAAGCCCTCCCGGCCTCGTCCTTACCTCTGTCTTCTTCAGCTTGTGCTTCCACACCTCGGAAGCCCCATATTGGTTGAGGATAAGCCCTTCCACACCTCGGAACCCCATATTGGTTGAGGATAAGCCCTCCCGGCCTCGTCCTTGCCTCTGTCTTCTTCAGCCCCCATATTGGTTGAGGATAAGCCCCTCCACACCTCGGAACCCCATATTGGTTGAGGATAAGCCCTCCCGGCCTCGTCCTTGCCTCTGTCTTCCGCGCCTCGGAAACCCATATTGGTTGAGGATAAGCCCTCCCGGCCTCGTCCTTGCCTCTGTCTTCCGCGCCTCGGAAACCCATATTGGTTGAGGATAAGCCCTCCCGGCCTCGTCCTTGCCTCTGTCTTCTTCATCTTGAGCTTCCACACCTCGGGAATTCCATATTGGTTGAGGATAAGCCCTCCCGGCCTCGTCCTTGCCTCTGTCTTCTTCCGCTTGAGCTTCCACACTCCCGTGTCTTCTTCCGCTTGAGCTTCCACACTCCCGGCCTCGTCCTTGCCTGTGACTTCTTCGGCGAGCTTCCACACCTCGGAAACCCATATTGGTTGAGGATAAGCCCCTCCAAACCTATATTGGCTGAGGATAAGCTTTCCCGGCTTCGTCCTTGCCTCCGTCGGTCTCCCCGCCTCCGTCTTCTTCGGGCTGAGATCACGCACCTCGGACCCCATATTTGTTGAGGATAAGCGCTCCGGCCTCGTCCCCGCCTCCTCCTTCTCCGGGATGAAACTTCACACCTGGGACCCCATGTTGGTTGAGGAGAAGTGCTGCGGTCTCCCCGCCTCCGTCTTCTTCGGGCTGAGATCACACACCTCGGACCCCATATTTGTTGAGGATAAGCGCTCCGGCCTCGTCCCCGCCTTCGCCTTCTTCGGGTTGGGACCCCATATTGGTTGAGGATAAGCCCTCCGACCTCGTCCCCTCCGCTTTCTTCAGGTTGAGACCACGCACCTGGGACGTTGAGGAAAAGCGTGCTGGATCGGTTGAGGATAAGCGTTCCGGCCTCTTCCCCGCCTCCGCCTTCTCCGGATTCTTCAGGTTGAGACCACGCACCTGGGACGTTGAGGAAAAGCGTGCTGGATCGGTTGAGGATAAGCGTTCCGGCCTCTTCCCCGCCTTCGCCTTCTCCGGATTGGGACCCCGTAGTTCCCGCCTCCACTTTCTTCGGGCTGTGAGATGTCACACTTGGAACCCCATATTGGTTGAGGGTAAGCGCTCCGGCCTCGTCCCCGCCTCCAGTTTCTTCGGGCTGCGAGACGTCCCACCTGGAACCCCATATTGGTTGAGGGTAAGCGCTCCGGCCTCGTCCTCGCCTCCAGTTTCTTCGGGCTGCGAGACGTCACATCACACCTGGAACCCCATATTGGTTGAGGGTAACCGCTCTGGCCTCGTCCCCGCCTCTGCTTTCTTCGGGTTGGGACCCCATATTGGCTGAGGATAAGCGCTCCGGCTTCGTCCCCGCCTCCGCCGTCTTCTCAGCTTCAGACCACGCACCTGAAATCCCATCTTGGTTGAGGCTAAGCCCTCCGGCCTCGTCACCACAGGAGACTGAGCGCCGGGATCACCGCGGACCATTAAATCTAGAGATGCTTTCTTCAGACTGAGCTCCCACGCTTCGGAATCCCATACTGATTGAGGATAAGCCCTCCCGGCCTTGTCCTTGGCTCCGTCTTCGAAAGAATGAGAACCCTCACTTGGGGCCACGCAGCCGAGACCCCATGTGGTTCGAGGATGAGTCCTCCAGCCTCGTCCCGGACTGAGACCCTATATTGGTGGAGGATAAGCCCTCCATCTTGGTCCCTGGCTTGCGTTCCTCAGGTTAAGACCACACGCCTCGGACCCCACGTTGGTTGAGGATAAGCGCTCCGGCCTCGTTCCCGCCTCCGCTTTCCCTGAAACCCCATATTGGTTGAGGACAAGCTCTCCGGCCTCGTCCGCGCCTCCGCCGTTTTCTCAGCTTAAAACCGTGCACCTGAAACTCCATCTTGGTTGAGGATAAACGCTCCGGCCTCGTCCCCGCCTCCGCCTTCTTCGGGCTGTGAGACCACGCACCTGCGAGCCCATATTGGTTGAGGATACCCCGCCTCCCCCTTCTTCGGGCTGCCAGACCACGCACCTGAGACACCATAGTGGTTGAGGATAAGCGCTCCGGCCCGGTCCCTGCCTCCGCCTTCTTCGGGCTGTCTGAACACGCACCTAGGACCCCATATTGGTTGAGGATAAGCGCTTTGGCCTCGTCCCCGCCTCCTCCTTCTCCGGGATGAGACTTCACACCTAGGACCCCATGTTGGTTGAGGAGAAGTGCTGCGGTCTCCCCGCCTCCGTCTTCTTCGGGCTGAGATCACGCACCTCGGACCCCAGATTTGTTGAGGATAATCGCTTTGGCCTCGTCCCCGCCTCCTCCTTCTCCGGGATGAGACTTCACACCTGCGACCCCATGTTGGTTGAGGAGAAGTGCTGCGGTCTCCCCGCCGCCGTCTTCTTCGGGCTGAGATCACGCACCTCGGACCCTTTTTTTGTTGAGGATAAGCGCTCCGGCCTCGTCCCCGCCTTCGCCTTCTTCGGGTTGGGACCCCATATTGGTTGAGGATAAGCCCTCCGGCCTCGTCCCCTCCGCTTTCTTCAGGTTGAGACCACGCACCTGGGACGTTGAGGAAAAGCGTGCTGGATCGGTTGAGGATAAGCGTTCCGGCCTCTTCCCCGCCTTCGCCTTCTCCGGACTGGGACCCCGTAGTTCCCGCCTCCACTTTCTTCGGGCTGTGAGATGTCACACTTGGAACCCCATATTGGTTGAGGGTAAGCGGTCCGGCCTCGTCCCCGCCTCCAGTTTCTTCGGGCTGCGAGACGTCACACCTGGAACCCCATATTGGTTGAGGGTAAGCGCTCCGGCCTCGTCCTCGCCTCCAGTTTCTTCGGGCTGCGAGACGTCACATCACACCTGGAACCCCATATTGGTTGAGGGTAACCGCTCTGGCCTCGTCCCCGCCTCTGCTTTCTTCGGGTTGGGACCCCACCTTGGTTGAGGATAAGCGCTCCGGCCTTGTCCCCGCCTTCGCTTTCCCTGAAACCCCATATTGGTTGAGGACAAGCGCTCCGGCCTCGTCCCCGCCTCTGCCTTCTTCTCAGCTTAAAACCATGCACCTGAAACCCCATCTTGGTTGAGGATACGTCCCCGCCTCCGGCCTGAGATCCCAGACTTCGGAAACCCATATTGGTTGAGGATAGCTCTGGCCTGATCCCCGCCTCCGTGTTCTTCTCAGGTTGAGACCATGCACCTGAAGCCCCATATTGGTTGAGTATACGTGGGTTGAAGATAAGCGCTCCGGCCTAGTCCCCGCCTCCGTCTTCATCTCGGGTTGAGCCCACGTGCCTGGAACCCCATATTGGTTGAGGATAAACGCCCTGGCCTCGACCCCGCCCCTGCCTTCCTCGGGTTGAGACCATGCTATATCTCCCCGTTGTGTCTACTGAATGCTGAATAACAGCTGCGTCGGATAGGAGTCGCTCGTAGTCATCGGGCATACCCCAAGAGTGCATGCGCGTGATGCAAGTGCTTCCCGTGCACCTTTTGGACTCTCAAGGGAAGAGGTTCTTATCGCCGGACCTGGCGCTCAGACGGCTGCCGTGGCCTCCTGGGCTGTGCTGTGGCAGGGACGTGCCCGCATGTTCTTCTTCGTTGTGCTGGTCCGGCCTGGAAGACATCCTCTTCCCAGAAACAAATGCTGTCCGAAAGATACCACCAGGGTATCCACGCGCCGTGCGGCACCCTTTGCCAAATGTATCCTGGTTGCACGTCAGTGTACAGGTTCTGTTCTCTCGCTCTTGCTTGCTGGCCTGCCCACCCATTCTTCCTGAGAAGATTTCTTTTCTCTTCGACGGTGGCACAGGCCTAGCGCAACTAGCGTCAACCACCGTCGGCAGATGCTGGCTTGGTGTGCGTTGCTCGGCCCCTGACGCCCAGTTGGCTCTTGATGCTGTCCAACGGGCTCGGAGCTTCGCGCTCCGGTTTCCCGGCTCTGTCACGGCGGCGGGGCCTGCAGCGCCATCGTGTTCAGCAGAGACATCACGAGCGCTTCTTAAGGCCCCGACGGACACAACCCGAGTCGGCGTGCACAGGGAGGGCCTCGATAAAGGTAAACGGCATATCAGGACTCCTCACTCGTAGAGCGTCCGAGGCTCGGGCACAACATCGCGTTGTGTGTCTCTTCTCCCTCGTATCCGGGGTCGATGCCCAAGTATCGGGCATATTCCTTGCACTCCTGGCGTAAAAACAAAGCCGAGTAAATGAGAAGTAGTTTCCCGCGACACATCCTCAGGTGCGGGCGCAGCACCGCAGTATACCTTCCGATCTCTCGAAACAGATTGTCCCCGTCGCCATAGCTTCTCCGAGGGGGACCGCTGGCTAGGAATTGCTCAATGAACAAGAGCTGCGTTCATAAGCTGCTGGGAGCAGGTACTCCTGCATGCGTCTGGCTGCACTACATGCTCAGTGATGGTCTCTTTCTCTGATATCCTTTTGCAATTGTCCCGCTTGCGAGCGCGGATACTCCATGGCTCGCCTTCGGCGACTCCGTCTCCTTCAGTGTTCGCCTGAATGGGACTCCGTATTGAGGATAAGCCCTCCCGGCCGTGTCCTTGCCTCTGTCTTGTTTAGCTTGAGCTTCCACACCGTCTTCTTCGGCTTGAGCTTCCACACCTCGGAAACCCATATTGGTTGAGGATAAGCCCTCCCGGCCTCGTCCTTGCCTCCGTCTTCTTCCGCTTGAGCTTCCACGCCTCGGAAACCCATATTGGTTGAGGATAAGCCCTCCCGGCCTCGTCCTTGCCCCCGTCTTCTTCCGCTTGAGCTTCCACGCCTCGGAAACCCATATTGGTTGAGGATAAGCCCTCCCGGCCTGGTCCTTGCCCCCGTCTTCTTCCGCTTGAGCGTCCACGCCTCGGAACCCCATATTGGCTGAGGATAAGCCCTCCCGGCCTCCTCCTTGCCTCTGTCTTCCTCCGCTTAAGCGTCCACGCCTCGGAAACCCATATTGGTTGAGGATAAGCCCTCCCGGCCTCCTCCTTGCCTCTGTCTTCTTCCGCTTGAGCGTCCACGCCTCGGAAACCCATATTGGCTGAGGATAAGCCCTCCCGGCCTCCTCCTTGCCTCTGTCTTCCTCCGCTTACGCGTCCACGCCTCGGAAACCCATATTGGTTGAGGATAAGCCCTCCCGGCCTCCTCCTTGCCTCTGTCTTCTTCCGCTTGAGCGTCCACGCCTCGGAAACCCATATTGGCTGAGGATAAGCCCTCCCGGCCTCCTCCTCCATATTGGTTGAGGATACACTCTCCCGGCCTTGTCGTTGCCCTTCTGCAGCTTGAGGGAAACCCATATTGGTTGGGGATAAACCCTCCCGGCCTTGTTCTTGCCCTTCTTCAGCTTGAGCTTCCACGCCTCGGAAACCCATATTGGTTGAGGACTCCCGGCCTTGTCCTTGCCTCTGTCTTCTTCAGCTTGATCTTCTCCGCCTCGGAAACCCATATTGGTTGAGGAGAAGCTCTCCCGGCCTTGTCCTTGCCTCCGTCTACTTCAGCTTGAGCTTCCACGCCTCGGAAACCCATATTGGTTGAGGATATTCTTCTTTTCTTCAGCTTGAGCCTTCTACGCCTCGGAAACCCATATTGGTTGAGGATACACTCTCCCGGCCTTGTCGTTGCCATTCTGCAGCTTGAGGGAAACCCATATTGGTTGGGGATAAACCCTCCCGGCCTTGTTCTTGCCCTTCTTCAGCTTGAGCTTCCACGCCTCGGAAACCCATATTGGTTGAGGATAAGACCTCCCGGCCTTGTCCTTGCCTCTGTCTTCTTCAGCTTGAGCTTCTACGCCTCGGAAACCCATATTGGTTGAGGAGAAGCTCTCCCGGCCTTGTCCTTGCCTCCGTCTCCTTCAGCATGAGCTTCCACGCCTCGGAAACCCATATTGGTTGAGGATATTCTTCTTCAGCTTGAGCTTCCACGCCTCGGAAACCCATTGGTTTGAGGATAAGCCCTCCCGGCCTTGCCTCTGTCTTCTTCGACTTGTGAGCTTCCACACCTCGGAAACCCATACTGGTTGAGGATAATCCCTCCCGGCCTTGTCGTTGCGCTTCTGCAGCTTGAGACGCCACGTCTTGGAAACCCATATTGGTTGATGATAACCCCTCCCGGCCTTGTCCTTGCCCTTCTTCAGCTTGAGCTTCCACGCCTCGGAAACCCATATTGGTTGAGGATGGCTCACCCCCGGCCTTGTCCCTGCCTCTGTCTTCTTCAGCTTGAACTTCCACACCTCGGAACCCCATATTGTTTGAGGATGAGCCCTCCCGGCCTTGTCCCTGCCCCTGTCTTCTTCAGCTTGAGCTTTCACGCCTCGGAAACCCATACTGGTTGAGGATGAGCCCCCCCCCCGGCCGTGTCCCTACCTGTGTCTTCTTCAGCTTGAACTTCCGCACCTCGGAACCCCATGTTGGTTGAGGATGGGCCCTCCCAGCCTTGTCCTTGGATAGGTACTCCGGCCTCTCCTCGCCTCCGTCCTGTTCGAGTTGAGACCACGCACCTCGGACCCGATATTGGTTGAGGAGAAGTGCTCCGGCCTGGTTCCCGCCTCCATCCTCTTCCAGTTGAGACCGCGCACCTGGGACCCCATATTGATTGAGGATAGGCACTCCGGCCTGGTCTCGGCTTCTGTTCTCTCCAGACCACGAACCTGGGAACCCATGACAGTTGAGGATAGGCGATCCGGCCTTGTCGCCGCCTCCGTCTTCTTCAGGTTGAGACCACGCTCCGAGAACGTATTCTGAGAGTAAGTCCTTCGAGCCTGTTGTCGCCTCCTCTTGAAGCTCGCCTTCTTCTGGCTTCAAGCACCTGGCACTGATTGCACGCTGCGGTAGGGCGCGCACCTAGGACCCCATATCGGTTGAGGATAAGTGCTCCGCCCTCGTCCCCACCTTCACCTTCTTCGGGCCGAGATCGCCTACCTGGGACTCCATGTTGGTCGAGGATAAGCGCTCCGGCCTCGTCCCCGCCTCCGCTTTCGCACCTGGGACCCCATATTGGTTGAGGATAAGCGCTCCGGCCTCGTCCCCGCCTCCGCTTTCGCACCTGGGACCCCTTATTGGTTGAGGATAAGCGCTCCAGCCTCGTCCCTGCCGAGCACGCACCTGGGACCCCAGCTCCCCGCCTCCGCCTTCTTCGGGCTGAGACCACGCGCCTGGAACCCCATATTGCGCCGGCCTGGTCCGCGAGAGCACGCACCTGGGACCCCATATTGGTTGAGGATAAGCGCTCCCGCCTCCGAGCACGCGCCTGGAACATATTGGTTGAGGATAAGCGCTCCGGTCTCGTCGCCTTCTTCGGGCTGAGACCACGCACCTGGGACCCCATATTGGTTGAGGATGAGTGCTCCGGCCTCGTCCCTGCCTCCGCCTTCTTCGACTGAGACCACGCACCTGGAACCCCACATTGGTTGAGGATAATCAGCGCTCACCTCCTCACTTCGGTCTCTTGGGGTTGGGACCACGTACCTGGGACACCATGCAGGCGAGCCTGCACGGCTTCGTTCCCGCTCCCGGCCTTTTTCTTCTTGAGGATACGCACCTGGCACTCCACGCTGGTTGCGGTTTGGGAGGGGGGTGGGAGGGGCAGAGCGAGGGGGGGAGGGAGGGGGGGGACCCTCCGGAGGGGGCACCGGGTGGGGAACCCACACCCCATTTTAGTTGAGGTGTTTTTTGGTGTCTGCCCACTACCCCCCGTGAGACTCGTGCGTCTGCCCACTACCCCCCGTGAGACTCGTGCCACCCCCCGGAGGAGGCACCGGGTGGGGAGGGGGAGGGAAGGGGGGAGGGTGGGGGAGGGGGGGTGGGAACCAACACCATTTCAGTTGAGGATTCTGCCCACTACCCTCCCGCCCCAGGAGGAGGGGGGAGGGCGCTCAGGGGGAGGGGGGGCGGGGGGAAGACCCCACACCCCATTTTAGTTGAGGATCGTTCTCTCGGCCTTGTCGCTGAGACCACACACCTCGGCAACCACATTGGTTGAGGCTCAAGCTTCCATACCTTGGATTGTCCTTGCCTCTGTCTTCTTCGGCTTGAGCTTCCACACCTCGGAACCCCATACCGGTTGAGGATAAGCCTTCCCGCCTTGTCTCTGCCTCTGTCTTCTTCGGCTAGAGCTTCCATACCCCGGAAACCCACATCGGTTGAGTATAAACCCTCCCGGCCTTATCCTTGCCTCTGTCTTCTTCGATTTGTGAGCTTCCACGCCTCGGAAACCCGTACGAAGACCCCACACCCCATTTTAGTTGAGGATTGTTCTCTCGGCCTTGTCGCTGAGACCACACACCTCGGCAACCACATTGGTTGAGGCTCAAGCTTCCATACCTTGGATTGTCCTTGCCTCTGTCTTCTTCGGCTTGAGCTTCCACACCTCGGAACCCCATACCGGTTGAGGATAAGCCTTCCCGCCTTGTCTCTGCCTCTGTCTTCTTCGGCTGGAGCTTCCATACCCCGGAAACCCACATCGGTTGAGTATAAACCCTCCCGGCCTTATCCTTGCCTCTGTCTTCTTCGACTTGTGAGCTTCCACGCCTCGGAAACCCGTACTAGTTGAGGATAAACCCTCCCGGCCTTGTCGTTGCGCTTCTGCAGCTTGAGACCCCACGTCTTGGAAACCCATATTGGTTGATGATACACCCTCCCGGCCTTGTCCTTGCCCTTCTTCAGCTTGAGCTTCCACGCCTCGGAAACCCATACTGGTTGAGGATGAGCCCCCCCCCGGCCTTGTCCCTACCTGTGTCTTCTTCAGCTTGAACTTCCACACCTCGGAACCCCATGTTGGTTGAGGATGGGCCCTCCCGGCCTTGTCCTTGCCTCGGAAACTTATATTGGTTGAGGATAAGCCCTCCCGGCCTCGTTCTTACCTCTGTCTTCTTCAGCTTGAGCTTCCTGGGGCCACGCACTTCGAACCCCGGCCTTGTCCTTGCCTCCGTCGTCTTTTTGCTGGGGTCACGCACCTCGGACCTCATATTGGTTGAGGCCTCGTCCTTTCTCTTTTCTCCAAGATGAAACCATGCACCTGGGACCCTATCTTGGTTGAGGATAGGCACTCCGGCCTCTCCTCGCCTCCGTCCTGTTCGAGTTGAGACCACGCACCTCGGACCCGATATTGGTTGAGGAGAAGTGCTCCGGCCTGGTTCCCGCCTCCATCCTCTTCAAGTTGAGACCGCGCACCTGGGACCCCATATTGATTGAGGATAGGCACTCCGGCCTGGTCTCGGCTTCTGTTCTCTCCAGACCACGAACCTGGGAACCCATGACAGTTGAGGATAGGCGATCCGGCCTTGTCGCCGCCTCTGTCTTCTTCAGGTTGAGACCACGCGCCGAGAACGTATTCTGAGAGTAAGTCCTTCGAGCTTGTTGTCGCCTCCTCTTGAAGCTCGCCTTCTTCTGGCTTCAAGCACCTGGCACTGATGCACGCTGCGGTAGGGCACGCACCTAGGACCCCATATCGGTTGAGGATAAGTGCTCCGCCCTCGTCCCCACCTTCACCTTCTTCGGGCCGAGTACCTGGGACTCCACGTTGGTCGAGGATAAGCGCTCCGGCCTCGTCCCCTCCGGCCTCGTCCCTGCCGAGCACGCACCTGGGACCCCAGCTCCGGCCTCGTCCCCGCCTCCGCCTTCTTCGGGCTGAGACCACGCGCCTGGAACCCCATATTGCGCCGGCCTGGTCCGCGAGAGCACGCACCTGGGACCCCATATTGGTTGAGGATAAGCGCTCCCGCCTCCGAGCACGCGCCTGGAACATATTGGTTGAGGAAAGCGCTCCGGCCTCGTCGCCTTCTTCGGGCTGAGACCACGCACCTGGGACCCCATATTGGGTGAGGATAAGTGCTCCGGCCTCGTCCCTGCCTCCGCCTTCTTCGACTGAGACCACGCACCTGGAACCCCACATTGGTTGAGGATAATCAGCGCTCACCTCCTCACTTCGGTCTTCTTGGGGTTGGGACCACGTACCTGGGACACCATGCAGGCGAGCCTGCACAGCTTCGTTCCCGCTCCCGGCCTTTTTCTTCTTGAGGATACGCACCTGGCACTCCACGCTGGTTGCGGTCTAAGTGAGCGGGTTTGGGAGGGGGGTGGGAGGGGCAGAGCGAGGGGGAGGGAAGGGAGCGGGGGAGGGAAGGGGGGGAGGGAGGGGGGGGACCCTCCGGAGGGGGCACCGGGTGGGG